GGCAGCTTTACTCGCTGTGCCACGGCGCCAGCGCAGGCCCTGGTTCATGGGGTCATCAGGAAGTGGGCACTGCAGTGCTGAGGTCCCCAATTGGACAGCTAGGCACACCGAGGCACGGTGTAGCTGAGACGCAGCTGGGAAGCCCAGGGCCAGGGTGAGAATTAGCAGGTGCCAGGCCCAGATCCGGGCTGGTCTGTGTTCATGTGAGGCCCCCAGGAGATCCCACACACCTTGGTGTTGTGAGAGGCTGCTTCCAGCCCCCGCGTGAGTCTGGAATGTACTAGGTGCTCAATGAATCCAGGGGCGCGCACAGCCCAGTGCATTTGCTGCCTTCATTTGCAGGGTGCCCCCCCCCGTCCCACCCCAACCCCTGGGTGCACAGCCCTGCTGGCAGTCCCTGGGGCCTGCCCCCGGGGACCCCCGTGCAGCTGCACTCGCTCACCACGCCCACCTGCCCTCTGCCACAGACATCACGGGCCCCATCATTCTGCAGACCTATCGCGCCATCGCCAACTACGAGAAGCACTCGCCCTCGGAGATGGCCATGGCCACGGGGGACGTGGTGGACGTCGTGGAGAAGAACGAGAGTGGTCAGGCCCCCGCCCCCTCCCCACCCCGCTTGGGGTCCCGTTCCTCTGGTGCTGGGAGTGAGGTGGGCTGAGCTTCCTACCAAGGCTCTGGCCTTCTTCTGGCTTGTCCCACCTGTAGGGGTGGGTGAGGGAAGACTGGGGGCGCTTCAGTCCCTCCGGGGGCTCTGAACCTGCCCCCCCAAATTTGCCCCAGGGGGTGCAAACTGTTCATTGGGCAAAGGGGTCCCAGCTGTAATGTGTGAGCCTGTGTGTGTGTGTGGAGGGGTGATGATCATGGTGTCCAGCGTGGTGGAGGTGCCATCGCCAAATCTGAGTATTGGAGACGAGTGTGTCTGTGTCCAGGCGTCCCCACCACCCCGAAGGCGAGGGAGGCATCAAGCCCTGCCCCTCATTACCGCCCCCCCCCCCCGCATACTTGGCACAGGTTGGTGGTTCTGTCAAATGAAGACCAAGCGTGGCTGGGTCCCCGCGTCCTTCCTGGAGCCCCTGGACAGTCCTGACGAGCCAGAGGACCCAGAGCCCAACTACGCAGGTGCCCCCTGCCCTCCAAGGCTGTGGCAGGGTCGGGGGAGAGGCAGGTGGTGGATTCGGGTACGGAGAGAGCAGCAGCTGGAGGAAGCCTGGGTCCCCCACCCCCGAGGAAAGGAAGGGGATTTTGGGCCCCCACGGGGTGGACAGACCTTCCCAATGCCCTGGGCCCCTGTCCTGCACCAGGTGAGCCCTACGTCACCATCAAAGCCTACACCGCCGTGGAGGAGGACGAGGTGTCCCTGGCCCAGGGTGAAGCCATAGAGGTCATTCACAAACTCCTGGACGGCTGGTGGGTGGTCAGGTAAGCGACCCCTGCCCCCACCTCCGCGCAAGCCCACTGGGCTCGGTTTCCATCTTAGTAACCAGCGCCTGATGAGGTCTTCAGAAAGTTAACAGAAATGCCTACGATGACCAAAAAAAAAAAAAAAAAAAAAAAAAAAAAAAATCATGCCCGGGTCTCCCTTTAAGGCCAGAGGCCCAGGGAGAGGGGCGAGGTCTGTGGGGCTGGGATCTGGCGCCCACCAGGGCCGTCTCTTGCAGGAAGGAGGACGTCACTGGCTACTTCCCGTCCATGTTCCTGCAAAAGTCGGGGCAGGACCTGACCCAGGCCCAGCGCCAGATCAAGAGCCGGGGGGCGCCGCCCCGCAGGTGAGCCGGCCGGGGTCCAGGGGCGGGCCCCTCCGCGCGGCCTCGGCCAGGGGCCCGACGACAGCCTCCCCCGTCCCGCCCCGGCCAGGTCGTCCATTCCGCAACGCGCACAGCATCCACCAGCGCGCGCGGCAAGCCGCTTCAGCCAGGACACTTACCGCCGCAACCAGCGTGCGGCTCCCTGCAGCAGCGCCGCCGCCTGCTGCCGCCCGGCCAGCGCGGCGCCCAGAGCCCGCTGCGTGAGTGACGGCGGGGGCGGGGCCAGGGGCGGGGCCAGGGAGGCGGGGCCTGGGCCGGCGGGAGTCCTAGAGAGCAGGGTAAGGCGGTGCCGGGAGCCCGCGGCGTGAGTGACGGCGGGGGCGGGGCCGGGGAGGCGGGGCCTGGGCCGGCGGGAGTCGAGAGAGCAGGGTAACGGCGGGGCCCGGAGCCCGCTGCGTGAGTGACGGCGGGGGCGGGGCCAGGGGAGGCGGGGTCTGGGCCCGCGGGAGTCCTAGAGAGCAGGCTTAGACGGTGCCGGGAACCCACGGCGTAAATTTCGCCAAGGACGGGGGGGCAGGGCCGGGCAGGGCTCTGGGGCGGGGTCTGGGCGGTGGGAGTCCCAGAGAGCAGGGTAAGGGCGGGGCCCGGAGCCCGCTGCGTGAGTGACCGCGAGGGCGGGGCCGGTCTCTGGGGCGGGGCCAGGGCCGGCGGGAGTCCTAGAGAGTAGGGGCGTGCTCTGGGGGCGGAGCCGGGGAGGCGGGGCCTGAACAGGTAGGAGCCCTAGAGAGCAGGGTAGGGCGGGACCGGGGATGGATTCTGGGGGCGGAGTCAGGGCAGGAAAGGGTGGGGCCAGCGCGGGAGGCGGAGTCAGGGCGGGGCTCTAACCTGGCCGTGCGGTCTCCCGGCAGAGGAGGAGCCGCGGCCGCAGAGCACGAAGCCGCAGCCCGCGGTGCCCCCGCGGCCCAGCGCCGATCTCATCCTGAACCGGTGCAGCGAGAGCACCAAGCGGAAGCTGGCGTCGACCCTGTGAGGCCGCGCCCTGCCTGTATATGCTTGTACATAGCACGGGGCCTGGACGCCCAAGGACAGTCGCCGGGACCCTAGCTCTGCAAAGGCAGCGCGGCCCGAGCTCCGCCCCGCGGGTGTTTCCAGAATGAGGACAGAGGGCTGGGGGATTGCTGGGGAGAAGTTCGGTGCGTGCCGCCCAGCCTTGGGCAAGAGCACTTTCGCAAGGGCGCGAGGAACTCCAGTCCCCGCTGCCCGCTGATGCGGACAGGGGCCGCCTGCACGCACTCCACTCCACGGGGAGAGATCACGACAGGATGGGCCCGTGGGGCGGGGTGGGCCCAGCTGTCATTTGGGTGAGGTGGTGGTGGGGTCCTCTGACCACTCCCAGAGACCCCACTCCAATTGGGAAAGTGTCCCCGGAAGCTGATACTCCTCGATGGACAGAGCCTGGCCGCTGACTCCGGCACCGGTGCCCGCCCTGGGGAGCCTGGACCGGAACGCAGAGCTACTGGGGCGCAGGCTCGGCCATGCATCCGGGGCAGGGGCTGTGCAGGACCCACAAGGCTGGTCTCCCAGGCTGCTCAGGGCAATAATGGGACCCCCAGCCCCAACTCCTCTGCTTGTACGGCCACAGTTACAACCTTTCCATTAAATAAATAGATAGAATGTCAGCATCATTCGGAGTGTTGTTTTTCCTCCAAGCTGAAGATAACGCCAAGAGGCTGAGGGGCGGGTGCTGTGGTGCCGGGGCGGCGCTGCTGCTGAGGGCGCCTGCATCTGGAATCAGTGGCTGGGTCCCGCGGAGGAGGTGGCCGGAGTTCTGGCAGCCCTGCCCCCGCTTCTGATCCAGCTGCTGCTGCTTTTTTCTTTAATATGAAAGTCAGAGTTACACACACACACACACAGGTTTTCTTTTTTTTTCTTTTTTTTTTTTTTTTTGACAGGCAGAGTGGACAGTGAGAGAGAGAGACAGAGAGAAAGGTCTTCCTTTGCCGTTGGTTCACCCTCCAATGGCCGCCGCGGCTGGCGCGCTGCGGCCGGCGCACCGCGCTGATCCGATGGCAGGAGCCAGGAGCCAGGTGCTTTTCCTGGTCTCCCATGGGGTGCAGGGCCCAAGCACCTGGGCCATCCTCCACTGCACTCCCTAGCCACAGCAGAGGGCTGGCCTGGAAGAGGGGCAACTGGGACAGAATCCGGCGCCCCGACCGGGACTAGAACCCGGTATGCCGGCGCCGCTAGGCGGAGGATTAGCCTAGTGAGCCGCGGCGCCGGCCTCACACACAGGTTTTCCATTCGCTGGTTCACTCCCCAATTGGCCACGACGGCCAGAGCCGCGCCGATCCGAAGCCAGGAGCCAGGAGCCTCTTCCTGGTCTCCCACGCGGGTGCAGGGGCCCAAGGACTTGGGTCATCTTCTACTGCTTTCCCAGGCCACAGTGGGAGCTGGATCAGAAGTGGAGCAGCCAGGACTAGAACCAGTGCACCCGTATGGGATGCCAGCACTGCAGGTGGCAGCTTTACCTGCTACGCCACAGCACTGGCCCCATGTTTTGTTTTGTTTTGTATTTATTTATTTGAAAGTCAGAGTTACACAGAGAGAGGAGAGGCAGGGAGAGAGAGAGATCTTCCATTCAATGGTTCACTCCCCAGTTGGCCGCAATGGCTGGAGCTGTGCCTATCCGAAGCCAGGAGCCTCCTCCAGGTCTCTCACTCGGTTGCAGGGGCCCAAGGACTTGGGCCATCTTCTACTGCTTTCCCAGGCCACCCCAGAGAGCTGGATTGGAAGTGGAGCAGCCGGGTCTTGAACCAGCGCCCACATGGGATGCGGGCGCCCAGGCCAGGGCGTTAACCCGCCACGCCACAGCGCCGGCCCCTTGCTTTGTTTTTTTAAAGAGAACCTTGGCCTCCACTTACTCTGTGTTTTGTAGCCTAGGTTACTTGTTTTGGGGGTTTTCTATTTTAGGCTGGGTTTCCTTCCGGTTTCCCATAAAGGGGGAGACAGGTAATACAGGGATACCATGTGTGTGACTCACCGCCAACCGATTCCGGTCAGACTTGCAACACGCTAGAATGCACATGGGACCCCGAGAGAACAGGGGAGGGGCATACGTGGGCACATGCAGCTGTCAAGGAACACACACACACACACACACACGTGTCTGTTTCTCTGCTGACACTTCTGGACATCCAAAGCCCCTGGGGCTCAGGCAGACGACACGGAAGAACGGAACAGGCTGAGCCCAAGGCTGTCACCTCGCGGAGAAACAACTAAACCTCTCTGGATTTTTACTGAACTAAGAGGAGGCATAACGCATCATACAGACAGGCCTGGTACCGCAAATAATGACATTTCCAAGTGGGGAAAAATTAACAACAACAACAAATAAGCATGGGGCTGCCTCGTAGTGGATTTTCTCCTTTTGCGACCCGACGCCCAGGGTTCCGCCACGCGGGGCTGGGGCGTCCTACCTTACGTGGCCACGTGGAGCACGGAGTCCCAGGGCGCTGTCTTGAGCTGGGAGCAGTACTCCGTCTTACTCAGTTTCATGATGGCGAAGAGCTGCTCACAGATGTGGGTGCTCCCGAACATGGAGAGGACCTTGGCGCAGTGGGCCCGGAGCCTCGGGTAGCTGCTGCACAGGTGCCTGTAGAACTCGGGCACCCCCACCTTGTCGTACTTGGCCTTGAGCAGGGTGTTGCACTGCAGGTCGATGACCTCCAGCTGCAGGTCCTCCCGCACGCAGTCCACCGTCACCGAGAAGGGCGCGCGGAACAGGGCCAGCTCGCTCTCGCACTGCTGGAAGTCGGCCAGCCGGCTCTGGAACTCCGCCTTCAGCTCGGCGATCTTGGGCAGGTAGCTCAGCCCGTCCCGCTCGCTCCTGGACACTGACTTCAGCGTGGGGAAGTGGGCCAGGTTGTTCCGGGCCAGGTGCGTCTCCCACAGGCACAGCTTGGCCAGGAAGGCCCGGATGAGGTCGTACATCTGCGTGACGAGCTGCGAGTGGCCCTGCAGGGCCAGGCTCAGCGTGTTGAGGTGCGTGGTCACGTCCACCAGGAAGGCCAGGTCTCTGATCCAGTCCCCCGAGCTCAGCTGGGGCAGCGGCTTGCCGCGGGACGACATGAAGGAGTCGATGTCTTCCAGGGACTCGAAGAACCGCTTGAGCACCAGCCCGCGGCTGAGCCACTTGATGCCGGTGTAGTAGAGGAGGCTGCCGTACTGGCTGTCCAGCTCGTAGAGCAGGGTGCTGAAGGCGCCGTGGTTCAGGCCCCGCGAGCAGATCCAGTTCACTGAGCTCACCACCACCTCCATGACGTGGTCCATCTGCAGCTTGCGGGCGCACAGCGACTCCGGGTGAATGATGCAACACACCGACTTCAGCTCCGAGCCCTCTCCGCGGCTCGCGGCCACCTTGGACCGCAGCTTGGTGACCAGCCCGTCGCTGGCGTCCACCATGGCCGGCGTGCCCGTGGACGCCACGCTCACCAGTTTGGACCAGTCGATGTTGAACTTCTTCAGGCTCTTCTCCACGCGCACGAACGTCTCCTGCGCCGACCTGCTGCCGGTCACGGGCACCGTGTCCAGCAGCTCCTCCGAGGCCTCCAGGTTCTCGTCCACGCCGCGGATGAACAGGGCCACCTGCGGGGTGTTGTTGATGTCCGTGATCTCGTCGATGGCGATCGAGTAGGCCACGGACGCCCGGATCTTCTCCCCGCAGCTTCTCTCACAGCCAGCAGCTACGTCCTCGGCAGGCGGCGCTGGTGGCACCCCCGCCCCGCCGGCCCCGCCCCCGGCCCCGGCCCCGGCTGGCCCCGCGGCCTCGGGCGCCCCCAGCAGGTACTGGCGCAGCCCCCGGCGCAGCCCCCTTTTGAGCTCCCGCAGCTTGGCGTCGCGCATCTGCTCCGTGTACTGGTCGTAGAGCTCGCTGTGGTTGGTTTGGTAGTGGCGCCGCAGGTTGTACTCCTTGGACACAGACATGCTCTGCTTGCAGATCAGACACGTGGGCATGTTCTGCACCTCCACGAAGAAGTACGCCCGCTCCCACTTCTCCTGGAACACGCGGCCCTCCTGGTCGATCTTCCGCTTCCCCACTTGGGAGAGAGACACGGCGGTGAGGACACACAGCTCGGCAGCGAAGGCCCGGGGAGCGAAATCCAGGGGGCTGCAGGGTGGGGCGGGGCAAGGCGCGGTGGGTGTGGCTACGGAGGGGTGTGGCTTTGGGCGGAGAGGGGCGTGGCTAGGGAGCGCCCTGAATGGGCTGGGCGAGGAGAGGCGTGGCTAAACGAGGAAGGAGGTGTGGCTGGGAAGGGGTGTGGCAGCTGGGCTGGGAGGGGCGTGGCAATCGGGAGGGGCGTGGCACACCGGGGGTGGGGTGGGGTTGGGAGGCAGCTGAGTGAGTTCAAGATTGCACCGTGCCGATGTTTCAAATTTAAAGAAGCATGCGGGTAAACAAGGTACACAGATACAGAAGGGGACTTCAGAAAACGCAGGGGAATCTGGAGACAGAACGTCAACAGGTGGTTGCCAGGAGACAGGGGAGGGAACGGGAAGTGACTGACAGTGGGTAGGAGGCTTCCTCCTCCTCCAGGGTGGGGACGGACAATGCTGTAAGACCGGGGTGGGGGGCAGTTGTGCAAGGCTGAAACCGAGCTGGCAACCAACGCTGAGCTGCACACGCGACTCGAGTGGGTTTGATGCTGTGGAAAGGGCGCCTCCATAAAAGCACTAAATACCAAAACCGGTCATTGCACGGGCAGATAAGGACTGAGCATGGCAAAACAACGCTTTGGCCTTCAAACTGTCAAGTAGGAGGCTCCCCGGTGGCTCAAACTCCAGCGGGCATGGCCGCATCCGCCGGTCTCACCCGCCCTCGAGAGCACCTGCCCCCTTGTAAGGGCCGTGTTGGGTTTGGACGTTGAGAACTCTTAACAAGCAGGGTGCTCAGCCCCTGAACAGCTCAACCCCAGCACTGCAGGGCTGCTGGGAGCCGCAGCTGGGGGAGTCGGCTCGGGCATTTGGCCTAGACACCCACATCCCGTACCAGAGGGCCAGGCTGTGGCTCTACCTCCAGCTTCCTGCCAATGCGCACCCTGGGAAGTGGCAGAGGACAGCTCAGGTTCTTGGGTCCCTGTTCCCCAGTGGGAGATCAGGGTCGAGTTCCCGGCTCCCAGCTTTGGCTTTGGCCTACCCTCTAGTCTTTGCAGGCACCTGGGAGTGAACAAGTGGAAGTGAGCTTTCTCTCTTTGCCTCTCCCAGAAAATACAGTGAAAAGAACCGGTTGGGGGTGTGGGGAGAAGAGGTGAAGTCACAGTTGAGGGTGCCGTGTGTGTTGGGTGGCCAGGCAGGCACCATCGACCAAACTCATACACCGTGACTGTGGCTATGCGGTGGCTGCCAGCGTCATCAGACTATCGTGTGAGCCTTGCACAGGCGATGGAGCAACAGCTTCCTAACACGCGGGAGAAGGTCAAGTTCAGACAGAGGGCCGCATGCGCACTTTGCTCCCTGGCTCCAGAAGTGAGACCCCTGCGGGGCTGGGGATGGTGCTGCGAGGGCTGGCGGTGGGGGGGGGGGGGGGGGGGTCTCTCTGCACGTGACACTCACCGTTACTCAGTTCAAGTCCAGGCAGCGGCCTGCAGGGAGAGAGACATCGGTGAGCACAGCGCTAGGTGCTGAGTGGCACCTCTGTGCCGGGTGCAGCGGGCACCACGGAACGGGAGCAGGGACCCACGCTCAGCAGCAGGGGGCGCTACAGTGAGTGGGACTGCAGGGACCCGGGCAGGGGGTGGGGGGCACCTGCTGGGGCAAGCTGCCCTGAGCCAACCGGCTTGGTTCTCCTGGCTGAGCGGGGGCCGCTCACTCACCTGATGACCGTGAACTTGATGAACTCGGCGGCATCCAAGATCCTCCGCATGGAGCTGATCTCCAGGTAGCCAGGGGCTTTGAACACCACCCCCGGGGGCATGCCATCAATCACCACGCAGCCAGGGTTGAAGGTGATCTTCCTGTAGGGGACCTTCACGGGGAAATCCACGCCGATCGCTTCACCTGTGATGAGACATGCGGCGGCGGAGTTTCTCACCTGCTTGCCCCAAGCCACGCCTGGTCTTTCTGAAGCTGTTGCATTTATTTGAGAGGCAGAGATACAGACAGACACAGAGAGGGTCTCCCATGTGCAGGTTCGCTCCCCAGACACCTACAACAGCCAGGGCTGGGAGCTCCATCTGGGTCTCCCACGTGGGTGGCAGGGAGATTCCCAAACACTTTTTACTGCTGCCTCCCAGGGTGCGTATTAGCACCCTGGAATCAGAACCCAGGCACTCAGGTATGGGATGCAGGTATCTCAGCCAGCACCTTGGTGGTTGTCCCAAACACCTGCCACACAACTCATCTCTGACACCAAGATTTTAAAATCGCTCATGGGCCATGACAACCCTGGGGACCTCCTGTTATTACTCCATTCTCAGCCGTCCCGTGACAGACTTGACACTGGTGCGAGTCAAGCAGGCACCAGTGTCTCCATCCATGAGGTACCAGACTTTTCAGAAAGCTCATGGAGAATGGAATCAGAAAGTAGCTTTATTTTGGTGCAAACTATGTTGGAAATCCATGCAGAGGCAAGTTCATGGAAATGTGCATTATGAAAAACCTATGTGTTGGGCCGGCGCCGCGGCTCACTAGGCTAATCCTCCGCCTAGCGGCGCTGGCACACCGGGTTCTAGTCCCGGTCGGGGCGCCGGATTCTGTCCTGGTTGCCCCTCTTCCAGGCCAGCTCTCTGCTGTGGCCAGGGAGTGCAGTGGAGGATGGCCCAAGTGCTTGGGCCCTGCACCCCATGGGAGACCAGGAGAAGCACCTGGCTCCTGCCATCGGATTAGCACAGCGCGCCGGCCGCAGCGGCCATTGGAGGGTGAACCAACGGCAAAAGGAAGACCTTTCTCTCTGTCTCTCTCAATGTCCACTCTGCCTGTCAAAAAAAAAAAAAATCTATGTGTGGATTTCGAAAATCTCTGCACCAAAATAAACTAACTTAAAAAAAAAAAAGATTTATTTTGACACGCAGAATTATGTGAGGGGTAACGGAGCGAGGCATATAGAGACAATGTGGTGGATTCTGTCAGCTGATTCACTCTCCAAATGGCAAAAACAGACAGAGCTGGGCTGATCTGAAGCCAGGAGCCAGGAGCTTCTTCCGGGTCTCCCACACAGATGCAGGGGCCCAAGCACTTGGGCCATCTTCTACTGCTTTCCCAGGCCACAGCAGAGAGCTGGATCGGAAGAGGAGCAGCCAGGACTCGCCAGTGCCCACACGGGATGCCAGCGCCATAGGTGGCAGCTTTACCTGCTACACCACAGCGTCGGCCCCAATACAGTTACTTTAATTCCATTTATCCACATGCTTTATGAAGGACCCTGGTAGAAATGACCATAATATCATCCTGGAAGGCTTTTGTGAGGATTAAATGATTGAGCCACACACCGGGCACAAAAAATAATACTCATCCAAGATAAGAACTTCATAAGTCTAAGACAGCTATTGTTGTTGTTTTTGTTATTATTATTAGTGCTTCCATGTAAAATCTATTTAGTAAAAGTGTACACTAATGTTGATCATGACTGGGGTGGTACTGAAGATGCAGCTCGGGGCACCCACCTGCACCTCCGAGTGCCTGGGTTTGAATCCTGGCCCCGCTCCTGGGAGGCAGCCATTGACGGCTCAGGTATCGGGTCCTTGACATCCACCAGGGAGACACAGATGGAGTTCCTGGCTCCTGGCTTTGGCCTGGCTCAGCCCTGGCTGGATTGGGTACCTGGGCAGGGCACCAGCAGATAGGAGGTGTATTGGTCCCTTGCTCTGGCTTTCAAATAAATATAACAAAAATTTTAAATGAAATGTGCTTTTTAAAACTTACATTTATTTTTTAAAGATTATTTGAAAGGTACAGTTAAGAGAGAAAAAGGGGTGGGGAGAGAAAGAGAGAGATATTGATTTTTCCATCTACTGGTTCACTTCCTAATTTGCTGCAATGGCTGGGCTGGGCTAGACTGAAGCCAGGAGCCAGGAGCTTCATCTGGGTGCAGAGGTCCAAACACTTGGGCCATCTTCCACTGCTTTCCCACGTGCATTGGCAGTGAGCTGGATGGGAAGCGGAGCAGCCAGGAATGGAGCCGGTGCCCATAGGGGATGCTGGTGCTGTAGGCAGCAGCTTTACCTGCTATGCCACAGCGCCAGCCCTATGAAATACTTCTTTCTAAAAGAATGTTTCAGGGCCAGGTTGTGTCATGGGTAAAGCCACCACCTAGCCTAGCCTAGCCCAGCCCCGGCTGTTGTGGCCATCTGGGGAGTAAACCCGTGGATTGAAGATCTCTCTCTGTCTCTCCCTCTCTCTCTAACTCTACCTTTCAAATAAATAAATCTTTTTTATTTTATTTCAGGTATATAAATTCTGAATACGTGACAATACAAAAACTTACCAAATTTTCGGCTAAAGAGGTCATTGACTTGTTCTCTTAGCTGTTTAATCTTTTCGATGCTTGACACTCTCTGTTTCTCATTGTCTAAAATAATGAAACAAATAAACAAACCAGGATTATTAATGTGCCCCCGGCCCCCAACAAACAAACAAACAAACAAACAAAAAACCAAAGCTGTTGGAAGAAATGCTCGTTAGCAATGGGAAGGTAGCTTACCCAGCTTCTCATTCAGTTTGCTCTGAGCAACAATGAAGTGTTTTTATTTTATTTATTTTTTATTTTATTTTATTATTTTTTTGACAGGCAGAGTGGATAGTGAGAGAGAGAAAGACAGAGAGAAAGGTCTTCCTTTGCTGTTGGTTCACCCTCCGATGGCCGCTGTGGCCAGCGCGCTGCGGCCGGCGTACCGCGCTGATCTGATGGCAGGAGCCACGTGCTTCTCCTGGTCTCCCATGAGGTGCAGGGCCCAAGCACTTGGGCCATCCTCCACTGCCTTCCTGGGCCACAGCAGAGAGCTGGCCTGGAAGCGGGGCAACCGGGACAGAATCCGGCGCCCCAACCGGGACTAGAACCCGGTGTGCTGGCGCCGATAGGCGGAGGATTAGCCTAGTGAGCCGCGGCGCCAGCCTAACAATGAAGTGTTTTGGAAATTTGCAAGTGGAAGCCATTGTACATGACAGAGAATTTTCCAAATGATGACGCCAGACAAGCACACTTCACACCACCTTAGGGAATGTTTTTCTTTTTCTTTTTCTTTTTTATTATTATTATTATTTTTTTATTTTTTTGACAGGCAGAGTGGATAGTGAGAGAGAGAGAGAGAGAGAGAAAGGTCTTCCTTTGCCGTTGGTTCACCCTCCAATGGCCGCCGCGGCCAGCACGCTGCGGCCGGCGCACCACGCTGATCCGATGGCAGGAGCCAGGAGCCAGGTGCTTCTCCTGGTCTCCCATGGGGTGCAGGGCCCAAGCACTTGGGCCATCCTCCACTGCACTCCCTGGCCACAGCAGAGAGCTGGCCTGGAAGAGGGGCAACCGGGACAGAATCCAGCGCCCCAACCAGGACTAGAACCCGGTGTGCCGGCCCCGCTAGGCGGAGGATTAGCCTAGTGAGCCGCGGCGCCGGCCGGAATGTTTTTCAAGATCCCGCAACATAAGGATGTCCACGGCACCACGGTAGGAATCTTAGCCCACGCAATACGACAAGTAAAGGAAATGAGTTAGGTGGGGATAGTTTCCAGCACTTGAAGAAATCTGATTCTATTGGATTTTTTTTTTTAACAGGCAGAGTGGACAGTGAGAGAGAGAGACAGAGAGAAAGGTCTTCCTTTGCCGTTGGTTCACCCCTCCAATGGCCACCGCGGGCGGGGAGCGCTGCGGCCCGGGGCACCCGCGCTGATCTGAAGGCAGGAGCCAGGGGGTTCCACCTGGACTCCCATGGGGGGGCAGGGGCCCAAGCACCTGGGCCAATTCTTCCACTGCACTCCCTTGGACCACAGCAGAGAGCTGGCCTGGAAGAGGGGCAACCGGGACAGAATCTGGCGCCCCGACCGGGACTAGAACCCGGTGTGCCGGCGCCGCAAGGCAGAGGATTAGCCTAGTGAGCTGCGGCGCCGGCCTCTATTGGATCTTGAATAGCTGAAGCAAACACATGGCTCCAACCCCCACAGGCATAAAGCACCGTGTGGGGGTCGGCGCCGTGGCTCAATAGGCTAATCCTCCGCCTAGCGGCGCCGGCACACCGGGTTCTAGTCCCGGTCGGGGCGCCGGATTCTGTCCCGGTTGCCCCTCTTCCAGGCCAGCCCTCTGCTGTGGCCAGGGAGCGGTGGAGGATGGCCCAGGTGCTTGGGCCCTGCACCCCATGGGAGACCAGGAAAAGCACCTGGCTCCTGGCTCCTGCCATCGGATCAGCGCGGTGCGCCGGCCGCAGCGCGCCGGCCGTGGCGGCCATTGGAGGGTGAACCAACGGCAAAGGAAGACCTTTCTCTCTGTCTCTCTCTCTCACTGTCCACTCTGCCTGTCAAAAAAAAAAAAAAAAAAAAAAAAAAAAAGCACCGTGTGGAAACGTCTCTCGCCTCTCTCCCGCCCTTAGCTCTGCTTCCTTCCCTGACCGTCTCTGTGCCTGGATTCTTTCCCATCTTTCCAGATGTGTTTTCACACTCACACAGATGGAAAAGGAGAGTACTTCACGACGGGCAGCAAATGAACTTCACCCCCGTGGCCACAGTCCCAATTCTCCGGCCGCAGGAATCTCCCAGACAGACGCTCTCATGTGGCCAGGAGAAGCAGTCTATCTGACGAACGGCGCCTGACAGTAGTGGGATATTGAGTGCACGGCAAGCTGCAGGCTGTTTTGTGTTTTTGCATTGCTCTCCCCTTGTTGTCAGGACGGACGAGGCAAAAGCCAGCGCCATGTCGTGAAACGCTTCGGTCAGAAGGGAAAGTGTGTACTCTGGGCTCTGCAACGTCACGAATTACGACAAAGCCGCACGGAGCATCCATACCTGGGACAGAGACCTATTATGACAAAGCCACATGGAGCGTCCATACCTGGGACAGAGACCTATTACGACAAAGCCACATGGAGCGTCCATACCTGGGACAGAGATCTATTATGACAAAGCCACATGGAGCGTCCATACCTGGGACAGGGACCTATTACGACAAAGCTACACGGAGCGTCCATACCTGGGACAGAGACCTATTATGACAAAGCCACATGGAGCGTCCATACCTGGGACAGAGACCTATTACGACAAAGCTACACGGAGCGTCCATACCTGGGACAGGGACCTGAACAATGTTCAGCTCTTCCACGCCTGCTGCAGAATTTCCAATGCTGGATGAGTGTGTGTCTGCAGAAAACAAAGCAGAGATGAGACGAGAGCGCAGGGGTCAGAAGTCACAGAACACGAGGCTGACTCTCCTCTAAACAGGTCAAGTGTCACCCTGATTAGAAGCTCAGACTGTATTAAAAGAAAAAAAAATTAGGGGCCAGCGCTGTGGCGCAGTGGGTTAACGCCCTGGCCTGCAGTGCCAGCATCCCATGTGGGCGCCGGTTCTAGTCCCGGCTGCTCCATTTCTGATCCGGCTCTCTGTTGTGCCCTGGGAAAGCAGTGGAAGATGGCCCAGTCCTTGGGCTCCTGCACCCGTGTGGGAGACCCAGAAGAAGCTCCTGGCTCCTGGCTTCGGATTGGCGCAGCTCCGAACATTGTGGCCATCTGGGGAGTGAACCAATGGATGGAAGACCTCTCTCTCTCTCTCTCTAACTCTTTCAAATAAATAAATCTTAAAAAAATTTTTTTAAATGTTCCAACATTTATTTAAAAGGCAGGACAGAGAGAGGTCCCCACATGCATAGAGTAGCACCCTTTTATCCAGGATTTTGCTTTTCACGGTCTCGGTTGCCTGTGGTCTGAAACTGTTGTGTGGAAAGTTCCAGAAAGAAAACAACTCAGTTTTAGAGCATGTGTGGCTCTGAGACAGTGAGACTGCAAGCCTCCCTGGAGGGGAACCACCCCTTTGGTGGATCTGCACAGACGCCCCGCCCCGTTGGTGTGCAGTGGGATCTCAGCTATGGCGGGGGTGGGGAGGGGCGCCGGGGAAGGGCTTGTGTTCCAGCAGCCCTGGGGGAGGAGTTGGTGCCACGTTGCCCTCCCATGTCATCACAAGGAGGGCAAGGGTATCTAGAGGGAGAGACTATAGTCGCTCTGTTTTCTCATGAGGCACGGCTGTTAGCCTCTGTGCCTAGTGTATAAATGGAACTATATCATGGGCATGGACATACAGGAAGCACTCTGTGGTTTCTGGCGCCTGCTGGGGGTCCTGGGACCTACGCCCCGTGGATAAGGAGGGGCTGTTCTAATGGTTGGACGTGGTCTTACTTAAGTGTGCAGATGGCAAACCAAACACATAGGACATACTAGTTTGTAAGTGTTTTGAATAACATAGCCTTTTTTTTTCTTAAAACAATTTATTTCTTTGAAAGGCAGAGTGACAGAGAGATAGATCTTCCATTTGCTGGTTCACTCCCCAAAATATCTGGGACAGCCAGGGCTGGGCCAGGCTGAAGCCAGGAGCCAGGAACTCTATCCTGGTCTCCCACATGTGTGGCAGGGGTCTGAGTCCCGGCCGTTCCACTTCCCAACTAGCTCCTTGCTAATGCGCCTGGGAAAGCTGCAGAAGACGGCCCAAGGGCTCGGACCCCTGCACCCACGTGGGAGAACAGGATGAAGCTCTAGGCTCCAGGCTTTGGCCTGGCCCAGCCCTGGCTGTTGCAGCCATTTGGGGAGTGAACCAGCAGATGGAAGACCTCTCTCTCTCTCTCTCTCTCTCTCTCTCTCTCTATCTCTCCCAACTCTGCCTTTCAATAATAATACACTTTAAAAAATCTGTTAAAAAAAAAAAACCACCACCCCATATTAAAATCAAAAGACACAACATCCTATTAATCAACAGAAAATCTTGCAGTACAAGGTAGCTGCAAGCATTATGGCCATGTTGACCGTGCCACATAAATTCAGCTGAATCCAAGTCCAACATCTCTCAACGAAGTCAGCTGTGGCCTCGCACTTTGCTTTGCGTTTGTTCCTGTGGGGCTCGATGTTTTGGGTTTGCAGGCCAAGAGGTAACAGGAAACGGAAGGTGGGATCTCTATGATTGGAAACTCAGGGGAGGCTGAACATGACTCCATGTAGCCCATGAGCGAGTGCAGAACCAGGTGGCGGAACAGGCAGCACGTCTGGGCAGGACAGGTGCCGACAACTGCCAATCAACCAACAGCGGGAGGGCAGTACCTGTGAACCCAAACCCCGCGTTCCCTGCTCTGGAGCAGCGAGCCTTGGCTTTTGGCTAAACAGGAACTCCTCCATCTGTCAGGAGTGAGCTGGATGTAGTTCAAGGTCATGGGTGTTTACCATGCAACAGGAATGAGGGTGTGGGGCCACAGGAAGAGCAGCGCAGACCCCAAGGATAGAACCAGAGGCCACATTTTTCAAGGACATGTTGGATTTTGTGGAAAACAGCAACAAAAAAAAAACTCCTTTTGAAGAGAGACCCGTGACCGCTGGCACCTTTGCAGGGACGGCTCCAAGGGGTGGTGACGCCGTCAGGGGCGTGCAGGAGCCACAGCCAGCATTGCTTTGACAAGTCAGCAGCCGAGAGGTTTAAAGTGCTGACGACAATAAGAAATTTCTCAAAAATAATAAAACCAGGCATGAGCTTTTGGCAAGGGAGTTAAGACGCTGTTTGGGACTCCCACATCCTGCACTGGACTCCCTGGCATTAAGCCCTGGCTGTGTCCATAGCTCCATCTTCCTGCCAGCGTGCATGCTGGGAGATGACGGCTCAAGTGCTTGGGCCCTGGCCATCCACAGAGGAGACCTGGATGGAGTTCAGGCTCCTGCCTTGGGCTTGGCTCGGCCCTGGCAGTTGCAGGAATTTGAGGAGTGAACCAGTAGGTGGGAGGCCTCTGTCTATCTTCCAAATAAATAAATAAATTATTATGAATCACCACTGGTGGACAGGGACCCACGGGGACTGTGTGGTCTCTGAAGAATTTGCAATCAACTCAATTGGCTTTACCATGATTGAGGAATCAGGTCCACGCAGTTGTGCAAACCACCCAGCTGATCCACCCCCTTCCGTCTTTCCTCCCTTGTACCGAGAAGTGTGGACCTTCTGGGACCAGTGCAAGCTCGCATGGCGTACCCGCGTTGCCTGCCACGCCCCGAGCACTGGGTCCTAGCAGAGGGGCTGCTGGAGTTGTTAGCGCGCACCAAGACCCACCGCACACCTCCTGCCGACAATGCTCTGAGAAAGGATCCAAGTGACTGTGACCAGGCCACTGACCTTCCATTTTCACGTCCGCTTCGGGGTCCTTGTTTCTTTCTGGAGGGACCGGCTGAGTAGAATCTTGAAAAAAAAAAAATTTCTAAAATGACCTCCATTATTATTATTTTTTTTGACAGGCAGAATTAGACAGTGAGAGAGACAGAGAGAAAGGTCTTCCTTCTGTTGGTTCACCCCCCAAATGGCCGCTATGGCTGGCGCGCTGCAGCTGGCGCGCCACACCGATCCGAAGCCAGGAGCCAGGTGCTTCTCCTGGTCTCCTATGCGGGTGCAGGGCCCAAGCACTTGGGCCATCCTCCACTGCCCTCCCGGGCCACAGCAGAGAGCTGGACTGGAAGAGGGGCAACCAGGACAGAACCGGCGCCCCGTCTGGGACTAGAACCCAGGGTGCTGATGCCGCAGGCGGAGGATTAGCCTAGTGAGCCATGGCACCAGCCAACCTCCATTATTAAGTATTCTCTTCATATACCCACAGCTTGCTGCCCCCACCCCCAGCAAAGGAGCATATCTTGGCCTTTTACATAGTGTACAAGGTGGACATCTGGTGTAATGGTTTAAGGCACCACCTGGGAGGCCCACATCCGATATCGGAGTGCCCAGGTTTGACTTCTAGCTCTTGTCCTGATTCCAGCTCCTGGCTAATGCACACCCTGGGAGGCAGCAGGTGATGGTTCGAATGCTTGGGTCCCTGATACCACATGGGAGACCTGGATTAAGTTCCAGGCTCCTAGCTTCAGCTTGGTCCAGCCCTGGCTGTTGTGGGCATTTGGGGAGTGAACCAGCCCATGGAAGATCTCTCTCTCTCTCTCCCCTAAATAAATGAAAATAAATAAAAGTGAAACAAAAATAACCAAGTATCTTTTAAAAAGTCCTACTTGGAGAGAGATTAACTCACTTTAAAAAGATTTATTTATTTGAAAGGGAAAGTAAGAGAGAGAGACGAGACTCTTCCATCCACTGGTTCACTTCCACAAGTGGCCGTGATGGCCAGGGCTGGGCCAGGCTAACCAGAAGTATGGAACTTCACCTGGGTCTCCCACATCAGGGCAGGGGCCCAGAGCGGCTGGGAGATGCAGATGAGGAAGAAGAAACAAAACACAGCAATAAGCAAACAGAAGAATCGCATTCCCTGCTGCCCGTGGATGAACCTTGAGGACTTTATGCTGAGTGACATCAGACGGTCACAATGACAAACACTGCCCGATTCCACCCACACGAGCGAGCTACCTACAGCCACCCAAATGCACAGAAACCTGAAGACTGCTGGCTGCCGGGAGCTGGGGCTGGGGGCTGGGGGGCGAAATGGAGCTGCTGTCCTCCTTCTGCATGAAGTCCGGGGGCAGGTGTTGGGGTGCAGCGGGTTAAGCCACCTGCTGTGACCCAGCTCCCTGCTAATGCGCCTGGGAAGGCAGTGGAAAACGGCCCAAGTGCTTGGGCCCCTGCACCCACATGGGAGACCCAGATGGAGTTTCAGGCTCCTGACTTCAGCTTGGCCCAGCCCTGGCCACTGGGGCCATTTGGGGAGTGAACCAGCCACTGATGGAAGATCTCTCTCCCTCTCTCTCTCTCTCTCTCTCTCTCTGTCACTCTGCCTTTCAAATAAGTAAATCTTTAAACAAGGGGGAAAAAATTCTGACGATCTGATTCCCTGATTCCTAACCACGTGAATACAGCAAACAGCATAGAAATGTGCTCTTAGCAAGGACTGGGCGGGGCGTGGTCCCATGGCTCCTGTCCCACGCAGGTCTACGCATCCTGGTGCATGGTGCCCAGCCAGGCTGCAAGAATCTGCCCTCCGGGAAAAGTCTCACCGTGACTGGATAGAGCCCCCAGATAAGTCCTCACACCTTCGGCCTGTTCACTTTCACATCCCTGGGGCGGAGTCGTCACTGGAACAAACAGCTCTCCGCGAATTCAGACAAGAACCACATCGCTTCCCGGCTTTTTGGCTAAGATCAAGTGCAGACAAGAACCACAACCATGGAACTGATGGTTCCAGGCATGGCGGAGCTTGGCTCTCACTAAGGAAAAGGAGGAAGGTGTTCGCTCCAGGGCTAGGACTGAAGCAGGTGGGACAGCAGCGTTGGATGCAGGGAATTTTTTTTTTTTTTTTTTGACAGGCAGAGTGGACAGTGAGAGAGAGAGACAGAGAGAGAAAGGTCTTCCTTTGCTGTTGGTTCACCCTCCAATGGCCGCCGCGGCCGGCGCACCGCGCTGATCTGAAGGCAGGAGCCAGGTGCTTCTCCTGGTCTCCCATGGGGTGCAGGGCCCAAGCACTTGGGCCATCCTCCACTGCACTCCCGGGCCACAGCAGAGAGCTGGCCTGGAAGAGGGGCAACCGGGACAGAATCCGGCGCCCTGACCGGGACTAGAACCCGGTGTGCCAGCGCCGCAAGGCAGAGGATTAGCCTAGTGAACCATGGCGCCGGCCTATATTCTTAGACTGGTATCTAGGTACTACATTGGATCTGTTCTTTGTATCAATATCACATTAATGTGAGAGTTGATGAGAAAAATAAAGGTCAATGCAGTCACTCCAGGGGCTGCTAGAGTCACGTTTCACAATAAAGCGCATCAGACCCCACCCCACTGCCAATCGGAACAACAGCTGAAAATGACCACCGACCAGCGGCCTGCACTAGGGGGGGAAATCCCCACGGGGTCTGGTCCCGCACTTGTCACCGTCTCAGACGGATGAAGCTCCTAAATGCAACATTATCCCACCCGTGAACTGGCTCTGGGTGTGCAGAGGGAAGGTCGTTTATGAATCTGATTTTAGACACACATCAATCCCTTTAAGAGTTCAGGTTCAGGGGCCAGCGCTGTGGTGTAATAGGTTAAGCCTCTGCCTGCAGTGCCGGCAAACCATATGGGCAACCAGTTTGGGTCCTGGCCGCTCCTCTTCCTATCCAGCTCTCTGCTGTGGCCTGGGAAAGCAGTAGAAGATGGCCCAAGTCCTTGGCCCCTGCACCTGCGTGGAAGACCCAGAAGAGGTTCCTGGCTCCTGGCTTCAGATCAGTGCAGCTCCGGCCATTGCGGTCAACTGGGAAGTGAACCAGCGAATGAAAGACATTTCTCTCTTTCTCTCTCCCTCCCTCCCTCCCTTCCTTTCTCTCTCTCTCTCTCTTTTTCCCTCTCTCCTTCTCTCTCTGTGTAACTCTGACTTTCAAATAAATAAATAAATCTTCAAAAAAAAAAAAAAAAAAAAAAGAAGAGGTCTATGTATGATGTTGACTCTTAGGACAAGACCTCAACTGGTTTCCTTAGAAGGCAGGCGTGCCTGAAGTCTTGTTCTTTATTTCAAACATGCGTATGTAACAGAATACAGGGTCCACTGCAAGAAACTGGAAAATCTAAACAGGAGAGAGAGAAAGCAAGAGCAGGAGAGGGAGAGAGAAGACGCTTCCTCTTTCTAACCTTCCATTGGTAATTCCATTTCCATTACTTCGCGGCCTGTGGAAGAATGGAGGCCCCCTGCAAAGAAAATAAACACCAAGTAACAAAAGGAGATAAAGGACATTTTACAAAGAAACCACTGCACACCGTGCAGACAACTTAACATCCGCCTACACAGGAAGTACTTTACTCCCTGAAACAAAATGCAAACAATCCTTTCCTATGTTTCCTTTTTACTTTGGAAATTTCCAAGCATGCCGAAGCAGAGAGCAGGTGCCGTGAGGCCCACGTTCCCGTCAGCCCGTGTAACCCTGTTCTATGTGCGCTTGCTCCCCCGTGCCCTCCGGGACTTGAGTCCATTCCAGCCACAGTAGAATCCCTTGTGCAAACGCTGCAGTGTGTACAAGCCACACATGGGGGCGCTCTTCCTTCAGTGCTACACCAGTATCGTGATGACATCCCGAGCGAACCGTAATTCATTTCTGTATTTATTTATTTATTTGAAAGGCAGTGAGACAGAGACAGAGACCTCTCATCTGTTGGTTCGCTCCCCAAATGGCCGCCATAGCTGGGGCTGGGTCAGGCTGAAGCCAGGAGCCTGGAACCCAATCCAAGTTCCTACACGGGTGATAGGGATCCATGTGCTTGAGCCATCACTACTGCCTCCCTGGGGTGAGCCTTAACAGGAAGCTGAACTGGAAGCAGAGCTAGGACTCAAACCCAGGATTTATGCTATGGGATGCAGGCGTCCCAAGCAAAATTGGATGAGCTGTGTCAAATGCCCGACCCCACTGACATTCTGAAAGAACAGAGACCCCACCACCACCTCATGTTCCCGCCCACATTCCGGGGGCACCTAGCATTTCCCCCCCCAGCAGTGTCAGGTTTTGCATTCTGGGCCAGAACACTGTCTACATGGTGTTGTGTCCTGCTCAGGACACTGTACCACAAACCGCAGCGATGCCATCCACGGTCTTGTTCCTCCATTTTTTTTTTTTTTCAAGTTTATTTATTTGAAAGACAGACTGACAGAGAGAGGGAGAGAGAGAGAGAGAAATCTTCCATCTGTTGGTTCACTCCTCAAATGCCCACAACAGCCAGACCTGGGCCAGGCTAAAGCCAGGAGCCAGGAACTCCATCTGGGTCTCCCACGTGGGTGGCAGGGGCCCAAGTATGTGAGTCGTCATCTCCTGCCTCCCAGAACGCGTTAGCTGGCAGCTGGATGGGAAAAGCAGCAGCCAGGACTTGAGGCAGGTGCTTGAATGTGGAATGGGAGCAGCCCAAGCGGCGGCTTCACCTGCTGCACCACCACACCCACCCCACTCCTCCATTTGAACCTCTCACTCCAAGGGACACTGACCACCTGCTGGCCCCGTGGACGCCACTCTCTGGCCACAATGGCATGAGTGCTCTCACAAGCCTTCCAGACACGGCCGGGAAGACCAGCAGAGCGCCTGAGAGGCTGGCTCCTGAACCCACGTGAAACCCCGCTGGGGAATAAGCTCCTACCCTGTCTCCCTGTGCAACCCGTCAATGGACCGCATCTTTCCTCTTTTGCTGCCCTGCCTGGGAAACCTCCTTGCAGCTTCCGACCAGGCCTCCGCTCCGCCCCGTCAGATGCCCGTATGTGAGCTGCCCTAATAAACCAGTCACGGCCGGCGCCGCGGCTCACTAGGCTAATCCTCCACCTAGCGGCGCCGGCACACTGGGTTCTACTCCTGGTTGGGGCGCCGGATTCTGTCCCGGTTGCCCCTCTTCCAGGCCAGCTCTCTGCTGTGGCCAGGGAGTGCAGTGGAGGATGGCCCAGGTGCTTGGGCCCTGCACCCCATGGGAGACCAGGAAAAGCACCTGGCTCCTGGCTCCTGCCATCGGATCAGCGCGGTGCGCCGGCCGCAGCACGCCGGCCGCGGCGGCCATTGGAGGGTGAACCAACGGCAAAGGAAGACCTTTCTCTCTGTCTCTCTCTCTCACTGTCCACTCTGCCTGTCAAAAAATAAATAAATAAATAAATAAATAAATAAATAAATAAAAATAAACCAGTCACATGCGGAGCCTCCATCTTCCCTCTCTGGTCTGGGGATTCCTGCTAAGCATGGGAGGAATTACACACTTTGGTGATGCTTAGATGACATCACGTCTATGTGCTGTCCATATGTTCCTCCCTGATGTGAGTGTATTTATGTATTTATTTATTTGACAGGTAGAGCTATAGATAGTGAGAGAGAGAGAGAGAGAGAGAGGTCCCTTCCAGTGGTTGATCCCCAAAATGGTGGCTGCCGCCGGCGGTGTGCCGAGGCCGGCGCGCCGCGCGGGTGCTTCTTCCTGGTCTCCCACGTGGGTGCGGGCCCAAGCACTTGGGCCATCCTCCACTGCCCTCCCTGGCCACAGCAGAGAGCTGGACTGGAAGAGGGGCAACCGGGACAGAATCCGGTGCGGCCATTTGGGTTGAACCAACGGAAGGAAGACCTTTCTCTCTCTCTCTCACTGTCTAACTCTGCCTGTCAAAAAAAAAAAATTTACATTATGTATTTGAAAGGCAGAGAGATCTTCCATCGGCTGGTTCACTCCCCAAATGGTAACAACAGCCAGGGCTGGGCCAGGCAAAGCCAGGAGCTCAGAACCCCATCCCGGCCCCTCACATGGCAGCAGGGGCCCGAGCACAGGGGCTGTCATCTGCTGCCTGCCAGGTGCATGAGCAGCAAGCTGTAGAGGAAACAGAGCAGCCGGGATCCGAGCCAGCGCTCTGGTGCGGGACGCTGGCATCGAGGGCAGTGGCTTAATCTGCTGTACCACAACTCCGGCCCCTATGACCTCTTTTTAAAAGCCTCATATTTTGGGCCAGCACCGTGGCTCACTTGGTTAATCATCCACCTGTGGCGCCGGCATCCCATATGGGCGCCGGATTCTAGTCCTGTTTGGGGCACCGGGTTCTAGTCCCGGTTGCTCCTCTTCCAGTCCAGCTCTCTGCTGTGGCCCGGGAGTGCAGTGGAGGATGGCCCAAGTGCTTGGGCCCTGCACCTGCATGGGAGACCAGGAAGCACCTGGCTCCTGGTTTTGGATCAGCACAGCGCCGGCGGTAGCGGCCCTTTGGGGAGTGAACCAACAGAAGAAAGACCTTTTTCTCTGTCTCTCTCTCTCACTGTCTAACTGCGCTCGTCCAGACAAAAAAAAAAAAAAAAAAAAAAAAAAAAAAAGCTTCATAGATTTTATCCCCTAGAATTCTTTAAGAGGACAAAAATGGGGGAGGCAATCAGCACATATTTTAATCTAGCTGGGTAAAAGACTAAATCCAAATAAATTGGGGGTTTTATTATTATTGTATTATCTATACTATAAAATTATTCATCACTGTCTGTCTGTCAGCACCTGGAAAAAAAAAAAAGAAAAGATTTAAGCATTTCATTTTTGCTTTCTTGTATGTTTTCCCCTTCATGGTAAGGCTGCGATACAGACGTCTGGATTCTAACAGGAAGTGTTCCCTCTGATGAGTGACTGAACGTGAACCTGCCCCACTTTCTGGCTTTCCAGTTGTTGGCTGCCTACAAGCTGGGACATACATTTCATTCCCATTCCCACGACTTACATCAGAGCCACTGAGGCCCGAGCATGAAAGACCACCCAGATGGGCCAAGCTGGGGAACTCACAGCTAGTTTCCTAAGTTGGCCCACGTGGGTGGTCCTAGGAGAGCCCACTAGGAAGCACCTGCCAATCACCGATTCTACAGTGACTGGAAGATGCAGGGGAGGTTACAGACCAGGCTCACGCTGCCTGCCAAGAAGCAGCCACGGCCGAGGCGGTGAAGGGCGGCAGGCAGGAGGCCAGGCATAGACTGTGCCGTCCACAGGCGACCACACGCTCTCACGCCTTGTCAGGACACTGCTCCACGTCAGTCGGGGCCGACACTGGGGACAGGTCAGGGTCAGGGGCAGGCGCCGGGCCCAGCTGTCGGAGGCGCCTGCAACCCGTCTCACAGGGTCTGAGTCCTGACTCTGCTTCCTGCTAGCGCATGCCTTGGGCTGCGTTCCTGCCACTGGTGTGGGAGGCCTGGAATCAGTCCCCAGCTTGGGCCTGGCCCAGCCGTGGCTGTTCACGGGCACCTCGGGAGCGAACACCAGATGGAGGTATGTCTGTCTGTCTGCCTCTCAATAACAACAAATTTACAAAGTACACCTCTTGCAGCTCATGTGCAAACAGGTAAAGGCAAAAAGCCTTTTTCTGTAGCCAAGGTGCACAGTGTGGCAACGCTGCACAGGATTGGCAATCCAGCCCGTTGATTAGCCAACTTCCCCATCACTACGCCACAAACAAAGGGTGAAGGATTGCAGTTCTGCTCAGAAAATCCTATGGCCAAAAAAAAAAAAAAAAAAAAAAAAAAAAACCACTACTACCACGAGGTGGCCTATCTGGGTGACACTCGGACAGGTTTGGGAGCAGGAAAAGTCACTCACGGGACAAGATAGTAGAGGGACTAGGTGGGCGTGGGGCACGCACCATCTGGAGGCAGAGAAGGGCAAGGGTGTTGGGGGAGGGGACCGGAGACTTGGATGTTAGACCTGCACCTGCTGAGCCAACCTTGCATTCCCAGCACAAACTCCCTTTTGGTCATGGAGTATGATCCTACACAGCTACATTCATTTGTTTTGTTAAGATTTTTTTTTTTTGGCCGGTGCCACGGCTCACTAGGCTAATCCTCCGCCTTGCAGTGCCGGCACACCAGGTTCTAGTCCCGGTTGGGGCGCCGGATTCTGTCCTGGTTGCACCTCTTCCAGGCCAGCTCTCTGCTGTGGCCAGGGAGTGCAGTGGAGGATGGCCCAAGTGCTTGGGCCCTGCACCCCATGGGAGACCAGGAGAAGTACCTGGCTCCTGCCATCGGATCAGCGCGGTGTGCCGGCCTCAGTGCACTGGCCGCGGTGGCCATTGGAGGGTGAACCAACGGCAAAGGAAGACCTTTCTCTCTGTCTCTCTCTCTCACTGTCCACTCTGCCTGTCAAAAAAAAAAAAGATTTTTTTAAAGATTTATTTATATATTTTGAAAGGTATAGTAACAGAGAGAGAGAGGGAGAGACAGAGAAAGATCTTTCACCTACTGGTTCACTCCCCAAATGGCCACAATGCTTGGGGCTGGGCCGGACCAAAGCCAGGAGCCAGGAGCTTTTTCCAGGTCTCCCATGTTGTGGCAGGGGCCCAAGCACTTGGGCCATCCTTGGGTGCTTTCCCAGGAGCATTAGCAGGGAGCTGGATCGGAAGTGGAGAAGCCAGGACTCGAACCAGTGACCATATGCAGGTGGATGCTTAACCCACTACACCACAGCGCTGGCCTCGGAGATTTTTTTTTTTTAAGATTTATTTACTGACTTGAAAGGCAGAATGAGAGAGAGAGAGAGAGAGAGACAGTGAGACAGATCTTTCATCCGCCGGTTCCCTCCAGCAAGGTCACCTATGCTCACGGGGACACGAGGTGACGTGTCAGTACTGTTCAGAGCAATGGGAGTTCAGACAGAGAGGGGACGCAGGTCTTTGTGAAGGGCAGAAGCAGGTGTCCGGGGATCCGAACGAGCGAGCCTGGGGGCTCTGGGTGGGAGTGTGGGGCTGTGTCCTCCTGGCGGGCTCAGGGCTAAGCTGAGGGAGTTCTCAGGGAGCAGCAACAGCACACAGCAGGCTGCACCAAGTGCTCGGGGCTGGGGAGTTCTGAGCAGGCTCTGGGAGGCTGGGAGTGGGACGGGGGAGACCAGGCTGCACCAAGTGCTCGGGGCTGGGAGGTTGTGAGCAGGCTCTGGGAGGTGTGGGGTGGAGGAGGGGGGAGGGACAGGGGGAGCCCAGGCTGCACCAAGTGTTCGGAGCTGGGAGGTTGTGAGCAGGCTCTGGGAGGTGTGGGGTGGGGGAGAGGGGAGGGACAGGGGGAGCCCAGGCTGCACCAAGCGCTCGGGGCTGGGGGGTTCTGAGCACGCTCTTGGGAAGTGGGGGGGGGCAGGACAGCAGTGACAAGCAGATGCGTTCATTTCTTTCTGCCTTTAGATTAAAAAAAAATAATTTCCCAACAAAACTTACAGAGCTACTTAACACTCCGAGAAAATTCTGGTTAAGGTTTCTGTGGCAAATGTTTCACATTTGACTATCACGTGTGGGGGATAAAAATCACCCTGTTTCCCACGCTCTGCCCACAGGCACGCGCAGAGATGGAGAACGGGGTGGGATTCGGCCTATGCATTGGGACTCTTGCATCCCTGGGGTTACGGTCCCTGTCCTGCTTCCAAGCCAACTTCCTGCCAACACTGCCCCCGTGAGGCAGCGGTGACGGCTCAGTAGCTGCGCCCCTGTCACTCACAAGGGAGAGCTCCCAGCTCTGGCCATTGAGGGGATTCGGGGAGTGAACCGGGGGTGCTCTGTCTCTGTCCCACTGCCTCTTTAATAACACTAATATTAACACTACTAACGGAAGACAGAGAATGGGTGTGCAAGGTGCATGGCGGTCTAGTTCATCAAATAACACGCAAGACGTGGGGTCCCTGTGCGCGCCTGAGTACTGTGTGGGCTTGCTGTCACCTGTCCTCCTGCCCACTGGAGGTGTCTGATGCCAGTGGTGCCCACGGTGACGAAGGCCAGGCATTCCAGCTCCATCTCTCCCTGCTCAGACACCGAGGGACAGGCGGGATTCGGGAACGCGCTCAGGGAGGACAGTGCAGACTCACACTCCAGGAGGACCAGGCCGGGCTGCTGAAGACTGGAAGAGTGTTTACCTTAAAGGGCAAGTGTGCTAATTCCTAGGGAGACACACACAGGGCTCTGCGACTCTTGGCCTGCTTTTCGGATGGGTGGCAAGGGACACTTTTCTACTCGTTAAGACAGTGATGATCAGACAGTATTACCTTGCGCGTGACATTCGTGGTAGCTGGGATCTTCCGATTCTTTTTTGATAGACACATCCGCCGCTGCCCGTGGGATGCCTTGGGAGGCCACAGAAATTAAAACAACCACATGTTAGGTCAAACCCAGCAACCGAGAACCAGGACCGGCGTGGCTGACGTGCAGGGGCTGTGGTGATGAATAGAGCGACACCACGGTCAGCCAGAAGCCCAGGGCTCTCCCGCCGTGGGCAAACGTGGCTGTCAATGCAAATATACACATCACATAGAGGCTGCCACTGCGGTGCCACGGGTTAAGCCACCACCTGCGATGCATGCGTCCCATATGGGCAGCAGTTCAAGTCCCGGCTGCTCTGCTTCTGATCTAGCTCCCCTCAATGGCTTGGCAAAAGCAGCAGAGGATGGCCCAAGTCCTTGGGCCCCTGCCACCCACGTGGGAGACCCAGATGGAGTTCCAGCCTCCTGGCTTTGGCCTGGCCCAGCCCCAACTGTTGCAGCCCTTTGGGGAGCCCTCTGCCTCTCCCTCTCTGTAACTCTGCTTTTTAAATAAATCTTCACACACACACACAAAACCAGAAATATAAATAGTATAAGTATAAAAGAATAGAAAGATATCCACACATATAAGTTTATGTATAGGATTTACGAAATGATAGATTATATCAGTGTAAAATAATGTCAGCAAGAAGAGAGGAGGAGAGAGAAACAAAGACGGGGAGAAGAGCAGCGAGAGGATGGATCACCACGTATTGTCCCGGTCTGCGGACACTTTCCCTATCATGAGTGCTGAATGCCCCATACGTTTATGTGACCTGTTATAAATATTATTTTTTAAAAGTATGTATTTGAAAGGCAGAGAGGGGCCGGCGCCGCGGCTCACTAGGTTAATCCTCCGCCTTGCAGTGCTGGCGCCCCGGGTTCTAGTCCCGGTCGGGGCGCCGGATTCTGTCCCGGTTGCTCCTCTTCCAGGCAGCTCTCTGCTGTAGCCCGGGAGTGCAGTGGAGGATGGCCCAAGTGCTTGGGCCCTGCTTGGGTCCTGAACCACCCTGGGACGACGGGGCAGCTGCTGAGGACATGGTGGGCACAAAACTCCCCACAGTTGTGGCCGCAGGACCCCTGAGTAAGACAGAGGAGAAGCCTGGTCCACTTGGGGTCCTGTCCCTCCCCAGAGTTGTGGGGGCTCCTGCACTTTAACCACACCTGTCCCCTCAGGGACGCTGACATTCTGACTTCTGGTTTATCCATGCCTAAGTCTCTATCCTCCCTTTTCTCTTTTCTTCTTTTAAACACATTTTATTTTAAATGGACAGGGATAGATTCAGAGAGAGAACTCCTAGCCTCTGGTTTATTCCCCAGATGTCCACCATGGCCTATCCAAGGTCAAAGTCAGGAGCTAGGGACTCCACCCAGGTCTCCTGTGTGGAAGGCAGGGACCCGACTACTTGAGCCATCTCACCTGCTGCCTCCTAGGGTCTGCAGCAGCCGGACGCTGGAGCTGCAACCTGGGTGCTCTGAGAGGGGACCTGGGTGTCTTAATCACTGTGCCAAGTGCCTGCCCCTTCTTCTTGATGCCGATTCTTGTTTCTCTGCTGGATTTTCTGAGATTGGACTTCACTTTACATTTTGCACTGTTTATGTCATACCTGGAGGTCTGTTACAAAACTCTAGTTTGACCCTTGGAGAGTCAGCTTGTGTTCATGTTCGTCCTCTTGTCCTTTTTGAGTTTTGGCTTTAGATACTTGTTACATTATCTTCCTCCCTCCCTCCCTTCCTTCCTTTCATTCATTTTGAAGATTCATTTATTTATTCGAAAGGGTACAGAGAGAGAGGGAGAGGAAGAAGGAGGAGGAGAGGGAGAGAGAGAGAAAGAGAGAGAAGGAGAGGGAGAGGGAGAAAGAGAGAGAGAAAGATCTTCTATGTACCGGTTCATTCCCCAGATGGCTGCAATGGCCAGGGCTGGACCAGGAGCCAAGAGCTTCCTGCATGTTCCACGTGGGTGCAGGGCCCCAAGCACTTGTCCATCTTCCACGGCCTTCCCAGGCTACAGCAGGGAGCTGGATCGGAAGTGGAGCAGCCGGTGAACTGGCACCCCTTGTTTAATGCTTTCGGTCTTTCCCTATCATTTGATCAAACACTTGAGCTTAAAAATACTTTTTCTACTCTAAGCCTTTTAACATGTTTCCCTCTAATTAATGCTGGTTCCCTTCCTTCCTTTTCTTTCTCTCTCTCTCTCTCTCTCTCTCTCTCTCTCTCTCTCTCTCTTTCCCTTTTTAAAGATTTATTTCTTTGACAGACTGATAGCAAGACAGAGATATCTTCCATCTTCTGGTTCGTCCCCCAAATGCCTGAAACACCCATGGCTGGCCCAGGCCATACCCAGGAGGCTGGAATTTCATCTGGGTCTCCCACAAGGGTGGCAGGAAATGGGAGAGCTGAGACTAACCCCAGGTACTCCAGCAAGGGATGTGGGCGTCCCAGGTAGCGACCTAACCTGCTGGGCCTCAATGCCCGCCCCCAGGTTTTGTTTGTTTGTTTGACAGGCAGAGTTAGACAATGAGAGAGAGAGACAGAGAGAAAGGTCTTCCTTCCGCCGGTTCACCCCCAAAATGGCCGCCGCGGCCAGTGCGCTGCGCCGATCCAAAGCCAGGTGCCTCCTCCTGGTTTGTTTTTGAGAAGTGGGGAGTGATGGGGGTGGAGGGGCATCTCCTCTCGTCCATGGCAGAGGGACTTGTCCCAGTGGACATCGTCCTAGGAACGCACCTGCTGTAGAACATGCAGGAATGACGCAACAGTGCATGACGGCAGTAAAACAAAAATATATCCAAGAGGAAGACCACGGCTCTATCTGCCATGTTATAATTCCAAACGTACTCAAGGCCCTTTGCTCATTTCACACTCAGGTAATTTAAGCATAACTAAAATAACATTTTTTCTCCTAATACATCTACTGTGTAATATCTTGTTACCTAATATCTTGTTACTTTGTAATATCTTGTTTTACTTTCTTCTGACCTTTGTGAGTAAAATAGGACTTTTCACCAAATAGACCCCAAGTGAGGTTAACCAGAGCACTGGTTTCCACTTCTTATTTTTTGGAAAATGAAAGAAAGGAGTTAAATGCTGACCTACTAAGTACTTCATTCTAAAAGCATCAGTTGGGACCTACCAGAATCTTCCATGGGTTCGGTTTTCACATTGATGGGGTCACCAGAGCTGCAAGGAGAAGGAGTTGGGTTAGGACCAGATACCTGGACACACCAAAGTCAAGGGCCCTGCATGTGTGTGCCACCGAGCCCCTCCCCCATCAACCAAAGGCCAAACCGCCTCAAACAACGTTGTTAGTACTTCGTTACAAACTTAAAGGTGTTGAGCCAATACAGTCCTAGAATTCCGAGTAGATGAAGATTTAATATTAAATTTAGTGTTTAATTTAATATTCAGCATCATGCAGAGGCCCCTCCAGAGCCTAAGCACACACTCTGTGGTCAGGTGCACGTTTGGTTTTTTCATTATTCCCCCATTACCTTCTGTTTGCTGCCGGCATGGCTCTCTCGGCATCGGGCACGGTGCCAGGAGCACCTGTGTGGGAACAAAAAACACCTGCTGGCCCCTTGAGTGCCTTGAAGCAAGACCGAAGTTCAAAGGCAAATACTCGGAAAGCAAATCTACAGAGGAATCCCAGCTCCGGGCCCTCGTGGGATGGCAGTGCAGAGCAGTTCCCCAAGCTCTGGGGCCACTGGCGGGGGCAGAATCGGGCTGGTGAGCAGGCCGGGCCCCGAGGGTGGGTGTGGATTCCTGCCTTGCTGCTCATCGGCTGGGCAACCTGAATGAGCCGCTAAGCCTCCCCCTGCCTCTGTCTTCTCATCAGATCAGTGGGTGTGCAAGGATTGACCGACACGGTCAGTTCTGTGGATCCATGGGCCCTGTGCAAATACAAGACCATTTCATAAAAGGGGTTTGGGCGACCACAGAGGGTCCCGAGCCAGGTGCCCCGTGGGTGCTGTCGGACAGCTGAACACACAGAGCGATCAGAACAGTGCCTGGGAATCTTGTGACAATCTCGTAGCCACCTGCCACCCTCCCCTAACCCGAGCTAGGGGAGTATAGGACCTCACAACTACTCCCAACACAGACCTGGCTCTGTGCTTAGTCCATTCCTTAAGGGTCCCACGTCACCCCCCAGGTCCAGTCGTGTGCGACCCTGGCTCAGGGCCGGCTCCTTCCTCCACCTACGTGGGCTCAACAGGGCCTCCTCTTTCGATCTGGCCTTTCATGGACACTGGACAGCTCCGAGCCGAGCTTCCTGGTACCTCCCAAAGTACTGATAGGGGCAGGATGTGGGTCTGGGTGGGTCTCTAAGTGCTTTTGGAGCCGTCACTTTTGGGGGAAGTTCTCCCCATTGGCCTACAGGAGGCTCTGAGGGGTTCTGGGCCCCACCACGGCCCCCGGTGCTCGTCCCACGGCCTTCTGCCTGTCTCCATGGACGGGGCTTCCCAAGAGGACCTGCCTGCTGAGACCCTGCTGACCCTAACGCCATTCCCATCCTGCCTCTCTGGCTCCTTCCCAGGGCTCTCGGGGACATCCCAGGCAGAGCTGAGCACCAAGGGCTCACAAGACAGTCTCAGTCTTTCTCCTGGGGAACTGGGGTTGGGAGCCAGATCACAGATTCACTGGGTCCCCTCGCGGCTGGTGGTCCACAGTCCCGCCGTGGTGGCTCCCGGCACCCACAGCCTCCCCTGGATGGCAATGACTGCCGGTGTGAGGGCTTGCGCGAGGAGCAGCTCTCCTGAGCTGTGGTTCCCCCTTACCCACACCTGCCCCCGGCCCAGGGTGCCCAAGGCTGCCCCCTCCGTGAGCGCGCTGCAGGGAGCATGTCTGACTAGCGGTGTAGAGGCTGTCACTTACCTGGCTGGCTCTCGGGACCCAGGAAGGGTCTGTAAGAAAATCAACAGCATCAACCAACCAGAAGGCACAGGGGAGGCAGGATATCAGCTCTTAAATCTAACAGGACACAATCAACAAAGGAATTGAAATCAACCTGCCAGCATAGATATACCGTTCAGGTTTTTTCTAGATCTAATTGAGAATCAGAGTCAGCGAGAGAGAGAAAGAGAGACAGAGATCCTCCATCCGCTGGTTCCCTCCCCAGATAGCTGTAATAGCCAGGATTGGGGCAGGTCAAGGCCAGGAGTCAGGAGCTCCATCTGGGTCTCCCGTGTGAGTGGCAGGGGTCCAAGGACTTGGGCCATCCTCCTCTGCTTTTCCCAGGCCATTAGTAGGGAGCTGGATCGGAAGAGGAGCAGCTGGGACTAGAACCGGTGCCCATATGGGATGTCACAATGCTGGCCCCCAGTATATTTTTTTTAATTACTTTTATTTGTTAGAGAGAGAGAGAGAGAGAGAGAGAGAGAGAGAGAGAGAGAGAGAGAGATCATTCTCCCATCTCTTGTTCACTTCCTAAATTTCTGCAACAGCCAGGGGCAGGGGCAGGCTGCAGCCAGCAACCAGCAACCAGGAACACCATCAGGGTCTTCCACGTAGGGGCTGGCAGGGGCACAGTTACTTCAGCCCCCACTGCTGCCTCCCAGGATCTGCATTAGCAGGAAGCTGGAGTCAGGAGCCGGAGCCAAGCATCCAACCCAGGACCTCCAATGTGGGACACCAGACAGCGGCCCCCGCTGTCAGTGGATCTTCAAACGAACCAAACACCAGGAAGGTGCAGAGCGTGTCACCTGTGGATGATGAAGGAAATCCCTGTTTTGTTCTCCAAAATCCATTTCAGGGTGGCGAGATCGTAACTCCTGGGGTGTTGAAAGGTGACGCCTGCGGGGAGCCCCTGCACCTGCACGGCTGCCTGGTCTCGAAGCATCTGCTCGTAGGGCACAGGCACCATGGCCTCCGTCCCCAGGGCCTTACCTGGAGGAAGAGGCATGGGTGTTAAGACTCCACTGGTCAGTTTAATTCAATGTAATGAAGTGGATACATCAAAACCATGACACACCTTCTCTGTATCCCAAGTTAGTACAAGTCCCAACCCAGGAGCCAAAATGAACACTGATACAACATTTTACCTTAAGCCTTCTTATAGCAGGGGAAAATTGATGGTGCTCTTTCTCTATTCCCGTGGAGGTCACATAGCTTGGGATGCTTGGCCTGACCCACCCAGGGCTGCAGGGAGCACCCCCCCCAGTTACCTAGGCTGCTGCCCAAAGTGGGTAAGACCCCCCCACCAAACTTCCCCAAAGCTTAACTGTCATGATGTCACATTGCACAAGTCAGGCCAACTTGCCCGTTATGGTGCTGATAAGGCCTCCATCAGTGTCTGCGTCTCTGCCCGAGCTGCTGCTGCCCCACTTGGAGCCTGACACCCCAAGATTCCCTAAGCTGGAGGTCCCCAAAGTCAACTGCTCCAGGCATTCCCAGGTGGCAGGAATGCTTGAAGCTGCTGGGAGCCATAGTCCAAGTCCTCAGATGCTAAGTCCTTCTATTACAACCAAATATGACTCCTGCATAGGGAATTAGCCTACTTTTCAAACAATTTTTACTTATTTATCTACAGTAGATGAAGAACGGTAGAAACAGAGAGAGACTGCCCATCTGCTGGTTTGCTCTCCAAATGCCCACAACAACCAGGGCTGGGCCAGGCTGAAGCCAGGAGCCCAGGAGTCCATCTGGGCTCTCTCACATGTGGGTGGCAGAGAACCAACTACTGGAGCCGTCACCTGACGCCTCCCAGAGTGTACACTTAGCAGGAAGCTGGAGTTGGGAGCAGAGCTGGGACTTGAACCCAGGCAATCTGACATGGGATGCAGGCAGGTGTCCCAAGCAGTGGGTGAGCCACTGCACCAAAACCTGCCTGGGGTTATCTAGCTTTTAAAACACTATATAGGCTGGCGCCACGGCTCACTAGGCTAATCCTCCGCCTTGCGGCGCCGGCACACCAGGTTCTAGTCCCCGTAGGGGCGCCGGATTCTGTCCCGGTTGCCCCTCTTCCAGGCCAGCTCTCTGCTGTGGCCCGGGAGTGCAGTGGAGGATGGCTCAGGCGCTTGGGCCCTGCACCCCATGGGAGACCAGGAGAAGCACCTGGGTCCTGCCTTCGGATCAGCGTGGTGCGCCGGCTGCGGCGGCCATTGGAGGGTGAACCAACGGCAAAGGAAGACCTTTCTCTCTCTCTCTCTCTTTCTCTCTCTCTCTCTCACTGTCCACTCTGCCTGTCAATAAATAAATAAATAAATTAATTAATTAATTAATAAAAATGAGTGTTCGGGGTGTGCTTGTTAGCCAGGGTCCCCGCAAGTCAACCCAACTAAGACAGGACAGACCAAAGAGCGAGGGGAGGACCCGCGTGTCGCGGAGGGAACGTGGGCTCTGCAGAGCCGGGAACAATCTAAGCCATCACAGCAACAAGGCCCCACTGCCCCCCTCTTCCCTGCTGGGCAGGATTCCTGCTGCCCGTGAACTTTACCGTAGCAGAAGCAGAAATAGTCCTCGACGGCTTTCCTGAGTATTTCCGTTTCTCCCGAGGGCACCTGCGTCCCGTTCACAGGGCCTGGCGGCTTCCTGTCGCTCAGCCCTTGGGCCACACCTGCGAATGCATGAGGACAGCCCAACGTCATTACCTGTGGACGCCCGCGCTCCCTACTCTTTGTGCTCCTGGTGTTGAACACAAGAAAAAGGAAACACACATAACACAAGGTCTTTTAACTAAGGAAGACGGGGGTACAGGAGGGAAGGCAGGCACTGTATTTATGATGGACAAGGTAATGTAACACGATGTCATCCCTGAAACCCATCTACTCAGGAAAAACTACAAAGAATTCAATATATGTGAAGTCTTGGCCGGCACTGCGGCTCACTAGGCTAATCCTCCACCTGCGGCGCCGGCACCCCGGGTTCTAGTCCTGGTTGGGGCACTGGATTCTGTCCCGGTTGCCCCTCTTCCAGGCCAGCTCTCTGCTGTGGTCTGGGAAGGCAGTGGAGGATGGCCCAAGTGCTTGGGCCCTGCACCGTGTGGGAGACCAGGAGAAGCACCTGGCTCCTGGCTTTGGATTGGCACAGCACCAGCCGTAGCGGCCATTTGGGGGGTGAACCAACAGAAAAGGAAGACCTTTCTCTCTTTCTGTCTCTCTCTCTCTCTCTCACTGTCTAACTCTGCCTGTCAAAAAAAAAAAAAGAAAGAAAGAAAGAAAGAAAGAAAGAAAGAAAGAAAGAAAGAAAGAAAGAAAAGAAAAGAAAAGAAAAAGCTTTATTTGCTTCTTTGAAAGAGTGACAGAGAGAGACACAGAAGAGAGCTCCTGTCCGCTGGTTCATTCCCTAAATGGCTAGAATGGTAAGGGCTGGGCCAGGATGAAGCTGGGAGCCTGGAACTCCATCAAGGTTTCCCACATGGGTGGCAGGGGCCCAGGGACTTGAGCCATCTTGTGCTGTTTTCCCAGGTGCATTGGCAGGGAGCTGGATTGGAAGTAGAGCAGCAGGGACTTGAACCGGTCCCCTGGTCACAGCACACCTGCCTCACAGGCCACAGCTGAACTCACTGAAATACAACATTGGCCTTGCATTCAACATTTCCAAGGCCAGGTTCCCAAGCAATTGCTTACTAAAAATGTTGTGAGGGGCTGACACTGTGGGGTAGTGGGTGAAGCTGCCATCTGCAATGCCAGCATCCCATATGGACATGGGTTCTAGTCCTGGCTGCTCCTCTTCCGATCCAGTTCTCTGCTATGGCCCGGGAAAGCAGCAGAAGATGGCCCAAGTCCCTGGGCCCCTGCACCCATGTGGGAGACCTGGAAGAAGCTCCTGGCTCCTGGCTTCGGATTGGCACAGCTCTGGCTGTTGCAGCCATCTGGGGAGTGGACCAGCAGATAGAAGACCTCTCTCTCTCTCTCTTTCCCTCTCTCTCTGCCTCTGCCTCTCTGAGCTCTGCCTTTCAAATAAATAAATCTTTAAAAATAAATAAAAACATTGTGAAACAGGTTTTCAAACCAGGGGTCTATTTAGGATCCAGAACCCATACAATCATTTGAAAAGGGCAAGTTTGACAAAAGCATCATAGCTGGTGATGGGATGATGGACTGACGGGTAACCAGGCTGAGGCAAAGCTCCTAAGAAAAGAACGAATGAGGACCGCTCAGGGCTGGGACCCCAGGCCTCCTTAGAAAGGATTAAGCCATGGCCAACTGCATGGCGGAGTCTGCTGGGCTGGCAGCAGGTGGGGTCTGTCTTCCTTGGGTGGCAGTAGAACTGCTGAGAAGTTGCCCCTGGCTGGGCGTGGCAAGCAAGCTCTCCTCTAGTGCTGATGGAATGCTCAGGCAGCCACTGGTAAGCATAACCACCTATGTGGATGTTGCCCCCTGTCTAGAACCTTCTGGGAATTCTGGGAGATGGGAAGCTGGCTGGGGGACCAGGGAAGTGCCTGGGGAAGCCGTTCACAGAACAGCTCCCCCTGAATGCATGGGAGGTGAGCGCCACCAGGTGGCCCAAATGCTGTTGCTCACCACCTGCCTAGGCACAGGCAGGTGAGAACCCACAAGGACAGGACGAGAAGCTCCTTCTGGCTTGGAAGCACTGCCAGTGGCCACAGGAGCAGGGCCAAGGACGGTGTCCCTGGAGGGGCAATGTTCTGAAAAAATTGCTGCAAGCTAGAGAGGCTTGTACAATGCGATTGTGCGTGGACAAAATGCAACCTCATGAGTACAGAAAACACAGGTGCTCCTCGACTTACAAGAAGGTTCAGTCCCCACGAACCTGTTGTAAGCTAAAAAGCTCCTAAGCTGAATATGCACTGAATACATGAGACACAGCGACCCTCGCAGCTCAGCAGCATGACACACGCTGGGCATCGGTCAATTGGCAGGGCCACAGGGGGCTGTGGCCGCTGTCTCTGTCCAGCATCAGGAGACAGGTCTGAACCACGTGGCACCAGCCTGGGTTTAAAAAGCCAAGTGCAAAATTCAAAGTACAAGGGCCACCGTTGTGGTGCAGTGGGTTAGGCAGCTGCCTGAGACACCAGCATCCCATATGGGTGCCAGTTCAAGTCCAGGATGCTCCGCTTCCGATCCAGCTCCCTGCTGATGTGCCTGGGAAAGCAGTGGAAGATGGCCCACATGCTTGGGGCCTTGATATCCATGTGGGAGACTCAGATAGCATTCTTGGCTCCAGGCTTTAGCCTAACCCAGCTCTGGCCAAGATTTATCAAGGAAGGAAAAAAAAAAAAAGAGAGAGAGATGAAACACAGTTACTAACATTAGAAACAAAAGTGGAGACATCACTACAGACCCTACAGTGACAGGCACTCAAATAATCAGAGGTGCAACTGTGGAGAGAGGTATTTGACACAGGGGCTAAGTTGCTGCTTAAATTGCCCAGATCCCATAAGAGGATCCCTGGGTTCAAGTCCCAGCTCTGCTTCCAACTGCAGCTTCTGGCTGATGCACACCCTGGGGAGGCACCATGTGGTGGCTCGAATGCCTGGGTCCCTGCCACCCACATGCAAGACCTGGATTGAGTGTCTGTCTTCTAGCTTCAGCCTGGCCCAGCTCCAGCTGCTGTGGGCATTTGGAGAATGAACCAGTAGATGGGTGCCTGCTTCCCCCCCCCTCTCTTTCTCTGCTTTTCAAATAAAACAAAAAGAAACTTTTTTAAAAAGTGCAACTGGCACCAGACATTAATACTGAGAATACTCATCTTGTTTATAAATCACACATTCACTCTATTATTTAAAGATCCCTTCATATTTCACCCTATCTTACTGGTGGCAGAGCCCCTAACTTGGGATGGCAAAAGTCAATCTGCATCAACCTTTCACTCACTCCCTTTCTCATATAAACACACGAGTTGTACATGTGTGCACGTACATGTATGCACACACATGTACATATGTGTGCATGTATAATCTTAGATATCAATTTTGCAGTAAAATGGTATGTACATACACTTGTGCTATATATATCCACATACATCCTCTTCTGAATCTTGAAGATGTCTATATAACCATCTCTGTTCACACACACACACACACACACACACACTTTTGTCCTCTGACAAACATTTCTGTTTTTTTTTTAACCTCTCTTGGTAGTAGGAAGTACTAAATTGCCAACTTGATGCTTGATAGGTGAGTGACGGTGGTGGATGAGATGGCTTGCCTAGGAGGTGTTAGTGCCCTGAGCAGCCCCTGCCCATGGCTGCGTGGACACTCACAGCTTACCGAAGGCTCTGACCTCCCACATCCCACAGCAGAGAGAAGGGACAGAGAAGTAGCTGAATCGTGAATCTTAACAGAGACAACCACTCCCTAAACTATGGGGTGGGTTTTCTCCCTTACTTCTAGAAAAGACCAAAATAAGAACATTTTATACAAGGTTTTCTTTAGGAAAGAAAGATAATTTACCGTGTGTTTTTCAAATTTTTGAGATTTATTTTTTGTTTATTCAAGAGACAGAGAGAAAGATCTTCCATCTGCTGGTTCACTCCCCAAATGGCCACAACGGCTGGGGCTGGGCCAGGTCAAAGCCAGGAGTCAGGAACTCCAGCTGGGTCTCCCATGTGGGTGCAGGGCCCCAAGCACTTGGGCCATCCTCTGCTGCTTTCCCAGGTGCATTAGCAGGGAGCTGGATCGGAAGCGGAGCAGCAGGGAACCGAACAGTGCTCCTGTTTGGGATGCTGGCATCCTAAGTGGCGGCCTAACCTGCTGCACCACGACCCCGGCCCCCCATCCTTCAATTCAGTCTACAAAGCCAGAGCAGAGCTGAGAACACTTCTACCACGTGCCGGCTGCTTCTCTGGGGGCTTTTGGTCTCAAGGAGCTACTGGTTTGGTGGGCTGGGTGTGTCACAAGTGTTTTGAGGAACGCTTCGATCTTAGGAGGCAATGCCACGGACGCCTTGCCACAGAAATGGGAAGACTGGTGAGACACCAGCGATCAGAGCACCTACAGTATTGTGCAAAGTCTTCCTGAAGGTCCTTCCGGGCGTTGACGAAAGCACTTCCCCTCTCGGTCCCCACCACGAACACGTCGGTTTCATACATGGCGATGCAGGCCACCTCGGCCTTGGACTTGGCCAGCTCTTTGCACTGAAACAGACACAGAAAACTGTCCTCTTTGAGCCCAGGGCAAATCCAGAGTCTGCGCAGTAGGAGACAAGAATGCAAAACCAGGCCCACAAAAAACCAACCAACCAACCAACCAACCAAAAAAAAACAGAATATTCACTTAGACTGAGGAAAATCGCCAACAGAAAAATAATTAAAAATTGTCAGCAAATACCATAAATATCATAAAACCCAGAGAAAAACCAGATTTTTTGTTTATTGGCTGATGTATCTCTCCAATATGCCCTTCTTCCTATATTTTGTCATTTAAAAAAAATATTGTATTTATTTGAAAGCAGGGTGACCAAGAGAGAGGGAGAGGGAGGTGAAGGAGGAGGGGGAGGGGGAAGGGGAGAGGGAAGGGGGAGAGGGATAGGGAGGGAGAGGGGGAGGGAAAAGGGGTGGGGAGGGAGGGGGGAGGAGGAGGGAAAGGGAGAGAGGGAGGGAGAGGGAGAGGGAGAGGGGAGGGGGAGGGGAGGGGGAGGGAAAGGGAGAGGGAGAGGGAGAGGGAGAGGGAGAGGGAGAGGGACAGGGACAGGGAGAGGGAGAAGGTGAGGGACAGGGAGAGGGAGAGGGAGAGGGAGAGGGAGAGGGAGAGGAAGAGATCTTCCATCTGCTGGTTCGCTCTCCAAGTAGCTAAAAGCCAAAGCCAGGAGCCAGGAACTCCATCCGGGTCTCCCATGTGGGTGCAGGGGCCCAAGTCCTTGGGCCATCTTCTGCTGCTCTCCCAGGTACATCAGCAGGGAGCCAGATGGGAAGTGGATCAGTGGCAGCAGCTTACCCCACCGCACCACAACCCGGTCCCTTCTTCCTACATGTTTTGGATATGCAGACTCTTTTATTACCTTTTCATATAATGACAATTTCATGACATCATTTTCCATGGAGAAAATAGAGAGATAACTTAGTATTTCCTCCAACGTGGCTGATTACACTTATTATTGGTGAGACCCTGAGAATCCACACAAAGCCCCATGTGCTGTCAGTCACAGCACTACAGACGTGCGCTGCACACAGACAGGAATTCTGATAAAATCTACAGTGAGAACCAAATCTCATTATCCATTTGCCTGCTAGCAATTGGAAGCATTTTCCACAGACTAGCTTGTGCTTCTGTATATTTAAAAACTATTTCTGGGGATGAGGTTCGTGATGCAATGGGTTAAGCCACTGCCTGTGACACCAACATCTCCAAATAAGTGCCCGTTGGAGTCCCGGCTGCTCTGCTTATTTATTTATTTATTTATTTGAAAGGCAGAGTTACAGAGAGGCAGAGAGAGAGAGAGAGAGAGAGAGAGATATCTTCCATCTGCTGGTTCACTCCCCAAATCGCTGATCCAAAGCCAGGAGCCAAGAGCTTCTTCCAGGTCTCCCACACAGGTGCAGGGGGCCCAAGTACTTGGCCCATCTTATAATGCTTCCCCAGGCCACAGCAGAGAGCTGGATCAGATGTAGGATGCTAGCACTGCAGGCGATGGCTTTATCCACTATACCACAGCTCGGCCCTGCTCTGCTTCTGATCCAGCTCCCTGCTAATGCGCCTGAGAAGGCAAGGGAAGGTGCCTCAAGTGCTTGGGCCCCTGCACCCACGTGGGAGACCTAGAAGAAACTCCTGGCTCCTGGCTTCAGCCTGGCCCAGCCCTGGCCATCACAGCCATTTGGGAAGTAAACCAGTGGATGGAAGATCTCTCTCTCTCTCTCTGCTGCCTCTCTGTAACTCTGTCTTTCAAATAAATTAATAAATCTTTAAAAAGGAAAACAGAAGTCCAGCCCAGCGCCATGCAGACTGTCCCTCAGTGCGGTGTCTGATGCTCCGGTTGTATAGCTGGGCTCTGTAATTTGGTAGGGACGTCACACAGAGCGTGACTCTCGGTGCTCTGTCTTGGGCGCCACTCTGTCCCATCACTGGAGAGGTGACCCTGGGTCCCTCGGGAAGGGTGTGTGTGTCAGGTTTCCCCTGTCAAGTCACCCTTTTTAATCATTAAGTACCTTCTTTAAAAAATTTTTTTGGGGGGGCTGGCACTGTGGTGCAGAAGGTTAAGCCTCCGCCTGTGATGCTGGCATCCCATATGGGCGCTGCTTCGAAACTCAGATGCTCCACTTCCAATCCAGCTCCCTGCTTATGCGCCTGGGAAAGCAGAAGATGACCCAAGTGCTTGGGTTCCTGCACCCACGTGGGAGACCCAGAAGAAGCTGGGGCTCTTGGCTTCAGCCTGGCCCTGCCTCAGCTGATGTGGCCATTTGGGGAGTGAACCAGAGGATAGAAGAACTCTCTCTCTCTCTCTCTCTCTGTCTCTCCTCCTTTCTCTGTTACTCTGCATTTCAAATAAAAATAAATAAATAAATAAATAAATACATACATACATACATCCTAAATTTTTTTTGAAAGGCAGAATTACAGAGAGAGAGAGAGAGAGAGAGAGAGAGACTGACTCTTTCCATTTGCTGGTTCATTCCCCAAATAGCCACAGTGACCAAGGCTGGGCCAGGCTGAAGCCAGGAGCCAGGAGCTTTATGCAGGGAGCTGGACTGCAAATGGAGCAGCCATGCCGGTGTCACAGGCGGTGCCTTAGCCCACTGCACCATGGCGCCAGCCTCAGTAAGTACCTCTGACCAGACGCTCTGAGGCTGTGTGAATCTCACATCCAATTTCCACCCACCAGGTAAATTCACCATCCAGATGAAAACAGGTGCGTATAAATGATCCGTTTACCGCTGAGTTGAGATGGAAAAACATTCTCTAACAAGGTGACAAAGGCTGCTCTGTGAAATTTCAGATCTGGGGAGCTGAAATTTCACACAGTTCCCATCCGTGATGTCACAGACAAGTGAGCACACGACAGGCTGGGCCCACCGTCCCCTGTGAGGGACCCCCTCACACGGACAAGATGGAAAGTTGAAAGGCAACACTGGAAGGGGCCCCGAAGGGTCTCACAGCTCTGTCATTGCGACTGTTGGATGCTTCGAGAAGGGCCGGGTGGTCTCACCATGGACTCCAGGGCTGACATCAGGAATGTCACCACCATCCTGCTCTCCGAGGACTTGTGTTCCATGGGCAGCGTGGTCATCGCGACTTGGGCCATGATCCCTGTGCCAGAGAAGGAATCAGGGAGTGAGTGCTGGAAACCGAGCGTCTTTCTCCTCACATGCTGAAGGCTGGAGGGACCTCACAGATGGTCCCCTCAGAGCTGGAGAAACCGACTTGCCCAAGACCTCCTGAACGGGGAGGGCCACTTTCATGGTGGGGGAGTCTAAGGGGACTTCAAAAAGTTGGTGGAAAACGGAATTCAAAGGTAAGCTTATTTTTTTTTATGTTTGATGTTGTTTATTTGAAAGGCAGAGTGATAGACAGGGAGAGACAGAGAAATTAGATCTTCTACTGGTTCACTCCCCAAATGTCTGCAATGGCCAGGGTTGTGCCAGGCCGAAGCCAGGAGCCTGGAACTCCATCTAGGTCTCCCACATGGGTGCAGAGACAGAGACTCAAGCACTTAAGACCATCTTTTGCTGCTTTCCCAGGCACACTAGCAAGAATCTGGACCAGAAGCAGAGAGCCAGAACTCAAACTGGCACTCTGATATGGGATGCCAACGTTGCTGGCGGTGGCTTAACCCTCTGTGCCACAACACTGGCACAAGGTAAGGTTACTTTGGTGCAAAAAAGTATTCATATTTTCACAATACCCATTTCCATGAAGCTTAAAGATGTGGAGACGGTTCTGCATCTCGGTGACCATGAGGGGTCTTGAAAAACTTTGTGGAAAAATGGAATGCACAGATAAGTTTATCTCGGTGCAAACATTTTTTGAAATCCATGCAAAGAGCTTTTCTTAATATGTACTTTCCATGAACTTTTTGAACATCCTGTATGTACTAACAGCTACCGGACTGTACCCTTTAAACAGGTAAATTATAGGGCATGTGAAGTATAGCTCAATAATGCAGTTTTATCTTTTTTTGTTTGTTTTTTTGAGAGGCAGAGTGGACAGTGAGAGAGAGGGAGAGAGAGAGACCAAGAGAAAGGTCTTCTTTGCCATTGGTTCACCCTCCAATTGCCGCCGTGGCTGGCGCGCTGCGACTGGCACACCGCGCTGATCGGAAGCCAGGAGCCAGGTACTTCTCCTGGTCTCCCATAGGGTGCAGGGCCCAAGTACTTGGGCCATCCTCCACTGCACCCCCCGGGCCACAGCAGCGAGCTGGCCTGGAAGAGGAGCAACCGGGACAGAATTCGGCGCCCCGACGGGGACTAGAACCCGGTGTGCCAGCGCTGAAGGCGGAGGATTAACCTATTGAGCCATGGCGCCGGCCAATAACGCAGTTTTAAAAAGACATCGTGGCGCAGCAGGTGAAGCCGCCGCCTACAACGCTGGCAGCCCAGATGAGCTGGTTCAAGTCCTGGCTGCTCCACTTCCCACCCAGCTCCTTACTAATGTGCCTGAGAAGCCAGTGGAAGAATGCCTGAGTGCTTGGGTCTCTGCCACTCACATGGGAGACCTGGATGAAGTGCCTACCTCCTGACTTTGGCCTGGCCCAGTCCTGGCTATTGTGGCCATCTGGGGAAGTGGACCAGCGGATGGAAGATCTCTCTGTGTCACTGTAACTTTCAGATGAATCTTAAAAACAAACAAAATCAAAGGGAGGCTGGACAGAGAAGTGAACACTTCCTGAAGAGTAGCAATGCACAATTGTGCAGTTCAACACACAAGCTCTAAGGAGCACTCATTCCCCATGTACAGACACAGAGGCCAGGAAGCCTGCTAGGCTGTGCAGCTGGTCTGTGCAGGGGCTGGCACCATGTCTGTCTATCTGTCTCTCTTCCTCTCAAATTGCCTTTCAAATAAATGGGAATTGATTTAAAAAAATTTTTTTTATTTTTATTTTTTGACAGGCAGAGTGGACATTGAGAGAGAGAGAGACAGAGAGAAAGGTCTTCCTTTGCCGTTGGTTCACCCTCCAATGGCCGCCACGGCCGGCGCACCGTGCTGATCCGAAGGCAGGAGCCAGGTGCTTCTCCTGGTCTCCCATGGGGTGCAGGGCCCAAGCACCTGGGCCATCCTCCACTGCACTCCCTGGCCACAGCAGAGAGCTGGCCTGGAAGAGGAGCAACCGGGACAGAATCCGGCGCCCTGACCGGGACTAGAACCCGGTGTGCCAGCGCCGCAAGGCGGAGGATTAGCCTAGTGAGCCGCGGCGCCGGCCCTGATTTTTAAAATTTAATGAATATATTTCAGAGGTAGCAAGATCCTGTAATAATCGGGACTGGGCTGGGCGGAAGCCAGGAGCTGGGAACACAACCCATGTCTCCCCTGTGAGTGAGCAGTAGGGACCCACTGCTTCCTGCTCTCTATCGGCAGGAAGCCAGGTTTGGGAGCGGGAGCCAGGAATACAACTCAGGTACGCTAATGTGGGACGCAGGTATCTTAACCAGCATCTTCACCAAAGGCTAAATAAGTGCCCACCCCATGGAGATTCTTTTTTAAAAAATTTTTATTTATTTTTTATTTTTGACAGGCAGAGTTAGACAGTGAGAGAGAGAGAGAGAGAGAGAGAGAGAGAGAGAGAAAGGTAGGTCTTCCTTCCATTGGTTCACCCCCCAAATGGCCACTATGGCCAATGTGCTGCGCCGATCCGAAGGCAGGAGCCAGGTGCTTCTCCTGGTCTCCCATGGGGTGCAGGGCCCAAGCACTTGGGCCATCCTCCACTGCACTCCCTGGCCACAGCAGAGAGCTGGCCTGGAAGAGGGGCAACCAGGACAGAATCCAGCGCCCAAACCAGGACTAGAACCTGGAGTGCTGGCACCGCAGGCAGAGGATTAGCCTAGTGAGCCGCAGTGCCGGTCCTATGGAGATTCTTTCAACGGATGCACACAAAACCCTCAGGGGAATTAGGTTTTAAGTTGTTATTAAAGGTGCCATTCTTTAAAAAGCTGTTTAAAGTATAATATATATATATATTATATTGTAATATGTTGTTGGGTATCTCAGTGGTTTACCCTTTATACCACTGAGTACTTGTTACAGGGATCTGAGTTTATTTATCCCTTTGCCATTTCAAAACATCGGAGCCATTTCCCATTGCTGGAGATCAGCAAATGAAGCCCCAGGAGCCATTCATGCGTAAGCTTTGTGTTAACCTATGTTTTCATTTCTCTTGAGTAAATATCTAAGAGGGGGATCACTGGGTCATATGTTGAGCATCAGGGGTCTTCAAAAAATTTATGGGAAATGTGCACTATAAGAAAATGACAGGGGGCAGTGCTGTGGCATAGTGGGTAAAGCCACCTCCTGCAGTGCCGGCATCCCATATGGGCGCAGGTTCGAGTCCCGGCTGCTCCACTTCTGATTCAGCTCTCTGCTGTGGCCTGGGAAAGCAGTAGAAGATGGCCCAAGTGCTTGGGTCCCTGCACGCACATGGGAGACCCGGAAGAAGCTCTTGGCTCCTGGATTTGGATCAGCGTTGCTCCAGCTGTTGTGGCCATCTGGGGAGTGAAGCAGCAGATGGAAGACCTCTCCCTCTCTCTGCCTCTCCTTCTTTCTGTGTAACTCTGACTTTCAAATAAATAAATAAATCTTTAAAAAATAAAAAGAAAATGAAGAGGCTTGTGCATGGCAATACCATATGGACACTGTTTTGAGTCCTGGCTGCTCCACTTTTGATCCAGCTCCCTGCTAATGCACCTGAGAAGGCAGAAGATGGCCCAAGTATTTGGGCCCCTGCCATCCACGTGAAACACCCGGATGGAGTTCCAGGCTCCTGGCTTCAGCCTGGCCCAGCCCTGGCTGTTGTGGCCATTTGGGGAGTGAACCTATAGGTGAAGGCAAGTGCATTCTCTCGCTCTGTGCAGGTACGTGTGCATGTGTGTCTCCCTCTCTAACTCTGCCTTTCAGATAAATAAATAAAATTCTTTCCGATGGATCACTCCCCAAATGGCTGCAACGACTGGAGCTGAGCCCATCCAAAGCCAGGAGCCAGGAGCTTCTTCAGGGTTTCCCACGTGGATGCAGGGGCCCAAGGACTTGGTTCATCTTCCACTGCTTTCCCAGGCCATAGCAGAGAGCTGGATCAGAGTGGAGCAGCTGGGACTCGAACCAGTGCCCATATGGGATGCCGGCACTGTAGGCAGCAGCTTTACCTGCTATGCCATAGTGCCAGCTCCTTAATTTTAAAATTTGAGACAGATGGGCCGGCGCCGCGGCTCACTAGGCTAATCCTCCGCCTAGCGGCGCCGGCACACCGGGTTCTAGTCCCGGTCGGGGCGCCGGATTCTGTCCTGGTTGCCCCTCTTCCAGGCCAGCCCTCTGCTGTGGCCAGGGAGTGCAGTGGAGGATGGCCCAGGTGCTTGGGCCCTGCACCCCATGGGAGACCAGGAAAAGCACCTGGCTCCTGGCTCCTGCCATCGGATCAGCGCGGTGCGCCGGCCGCAGCGCACTGGCCGCGGCGGCCATTGGAGGGTGAACCAACGGCAAAGGAAGACCTTTCTCTCTGTCTCTCTCTCTCACTGTCCACTCTGCCTGTCAAAAAAAAAAAAAAAAATTTGAGACAGATGGACAAGGAGAGCTTCCACTCCCTGATTCACTCCCCAAATGCTTGCCTTGGTTAGGGCTAGGCCGGGTCCAGAGCAAAGAGCTCAATCCAGGTGCCCATGTGGGTGGCAAGAATTACTCAAGCCTTTACCCCTGCCTTCCAGGGTCTGCATTCGCAGGAAGTTAAGGGTGAGGCGTCAGAGCATGTGCCTTGGTCTGGGACAGTGTTCTAACCACTAGACTGAACAGCCACTCCTAATTCTATTATCCACAAACTTAAAAAAAAAAAAAAAAAAAAAAAAAAAAAAAACCCTGAAAGGTAGAGTTAACGGTGGAGGAGGGGAGTGGCAGAGACACAGATCTTCCATCCACTGGTTCACTCCCCAAGTGGCTATAACAGCCAGGGCGGGTGCCAGGCTGCTCCACTTCTGATCCAGCTCCCTGCAAATGGTGCTGGGAAAGCAGTAGAAGATGGCCCAAGTGCTTGGGCCCCTGCACCCATGTGGGAGACCTGGAAGAAGTTCCTGGCTTCGGCGTGGTCCAACCCCAGCCATTGCAACTATTTG